ATTGAATAGAATTTTTTGAATTGTTACATTTTTGGACATCAGCTCTGGGTTACGGAATAATGCAAAAAATTAAAGTGTACGCTTGTAGTAAAAATTTGTTTTTAAATGCTGGGAATAGTATAAGAGACGTCACGTTTCAATTGAACCCCGCCAAGTTAATATTTACAGCCATTAAAGGGGGGTCAGCTGTTAACCATCAACCAAAAATATTCAAAAGTGACATTTAATTTGTTGATAACCAAATACCACCTTTTAGGTTAAACCATTTTATTGAATAGAATTTTTTGAATTGTTACATTTTTGGACATCAGCTCTGGGTTACGGAATAATGCAAAAAAAAAATAAAGTGTACGCTTGTAGTAAAAATTTGTTTTTAAATGGTGGGAATAGTATGAGAAATGTCACGTTTCAATTGAACCTCGCCAAGTTAATATTTACAGCCATTAAAGGGGGGTCAGCTGTTAACCATCAACCAAAAATATTCAAGAGCGGAATTTAATTTGTTGATAACCAAATACCACCTTTTAGGTTAAACCATTTTATTGAATAGAATTTTTTGAATTGTTACATTTTCGGAGATCAGCTGGGGGTTACGGAATAATGCAAAAATTTAAAGTGTACGCTTTTAGTAAAAATTTGTTTTTAAATGGTAGGAATAGTTTAAGAGACGTCACGTTTCAATTGAACCTCGCCAAGTTAATATTTACAGCCATTAAAGGGGGGTGAGCTGTTAACCATCAACCAAAAATATTCAAAAGCGAAATTTAATTTGTTGATAACCAAATACCACCTTTAGGTTAAACAATTTTATTGAATAGAATTTTTTGAATTGTTACATTTTTGGAGATCAGCTCCAATATAATTAAACGTATCTGGACGCAACAATGTACTTTCCGAATGGAGAGTATAATAATTATACTCATTTAAGATATAAAAAGATGATTATCTTATCGAAATGATGTCTATAAATAGCTTACAGTGTTGCCACATGTTGGACGCAATAATATACCAACTTTGTAAAACGTATACTTGAAAGCGTATACTAATTTACCGCCCTAGCTGCAAAGTGCTGAACTAAAAATATACAACTTCGTACGAATTGCAACTATTATTGCGTCCACTAAAAATTCATTATCTTTTAATATCTCGAAAACGGCAAGAGATGTCTCAAAACTGGTTTGTGCTATAGCAATCTGTTAAACCGGTGCATCCTTCGTTGATAGTATTTGAATGATAAAATGGCGGGAACATGGAAATACAGGCGATGCCTTTATTGCGTCCGATATTCGGACGCAATAATGTGCGTAATTGGTAAATGTATGGACGCAATAATGATAGAATGATGTCTATATATATATATATATATAACTCATAGACATATCCACCGCACCTTTCGACATCCAAACGTATAAATTTCCCTATCTCTTTGACATCCGTTGACGTTTCGACATCCGATTTCGGATGTCGAAACGTTTTCCCGTGTTATTTCACTCTAGAGCCCCTAAGGGTGAGGGGGAAGCAATTTCAGGAAGATGTCGAAAAGATATGGTTGTAAAATTAATAAGTATATTTTAGTTCCGCGCTTTGCTGTGAAGAGCGCGCGCAGGAGCTTTGGTGTGTATATTGAATATACAAACGCAATGTCATAACTGCGACTGAATGACATCCAGCGTATAATTGAAAAAATGTACGATTCTACTCATAGCCCCTAACTACATCCGAAATTTGGCAATCGCGCTTTATATAAATAAACTCCACGATATCTGCTTTTGCACCTATTTAGCGAAATAAACGGAAGAAGAATTACATTAACGTTTGGTGTATAATTAAAAGTTTATACTCTGCGAACTCTTTAACATCATCTATTTTATAGTTAATTAATACTTCTAAATGGGAAGAAATTAAGTTAGGTTCCACTCGCTGTTCTAATCCAAATTTCACTTTTGAATGTTATACGTTGTTGATATTCAGGCGATCCCCTATTTGTTATATATATATATATATATATTGATTCAGAGATAAAGAGAGAGTCAATAAATTGAATTGTAGCCATCTCAATAGAATTAGTACTATATTTTGAAAATCTCCTTTGAATTAAAAATTAAAAATAATTAAAATTGAAACCTATTTGCACCATTTTTAGCCAAAATGTTGCATCGTATTAACCATACACGAAATTTCGTTTTTGAATATTTCTGGTTATTGAACCACTTATTTGTTCTAAATAATGCTACAGACAAAATTATTTGAACCCTGACTTTTCTAATATTACTTGTACCATTTTAAAAGGAATTTTTCCAGTAAACATCCACTATTAGGTTTTTGTATCACTTAGCAACTAGGAAGAGACCCCCGTTAAAATTAAAATTCACAAAAATCTATTTTGCACCTTTATTTAACTTAAAAGGTTGCATCCGATTGACCTTAAACGAAATTTCGTTTTTGAATATTTCTGATTATTGACCCCCTCTGATTGGTTCTAAATACTGGTATAGACAAAATTATTTAAACCCTGACTTTTCTAATATTACTTGTACCATTTTAAAAGGAATTTTTCCAGTAAACATCCACTATTAGGATTTTGTATCACTTAGCAACTAGGAAGAGACCCCGTTAAAATTAAAATTCACAAAAATCTATTTTGCACCTTTATTTAACTTAAAAGGTTGCATCCGATTAACCTTAAACGAAATGTCGTTTTTTAATATTTCTGGTTATTGACCCCCTCCTATTTGTTCTAAATAGTGGTACAGACAAACTCAATTGTACCCTGACTTTTCTAATATTGTTTGTACCATTTCGATAGGAATTATATTAAACTAAACATTCGCTATTCGATTTTTTGTCACTTGCAACTATGAAGCGACCCCCGATAAAATTAAAATTCACAAAATCCTATTCTGTACCATTATTTAATTCAAAAGGTTGCACCCGATTAAATTTAAACGAAATTTGGTCTTTTGAATATTTTTGGTTGTTTGTCCCTCATTTATTTGTTCTAAATACTGGTACAAGCATCCATTTTTAGATTTTTGTACCACTCCGCAACCAAGTTAGTTGTTACTATTAGTTTAGTGTGAAACTAGCATGTTAGATGAAATTCCTAAAAATTTCGACATTAATTACTGCGTTGCAAAGGCAAACGATGAAAAATTAATAGATTAATATCCGACTTCATAAACTATGATTAGACCTAGTAGGATCACCAACACCTAGCCTTATAATCGAGGGGTGACTAACATTTCAATATTTTTAATCATTGGCAGAGTAAATTTTACTCTATGTCATTGTTTATGAAACCGGCCGTTTTGTTAAAAACAAAGCATAGAAAAAGTACCTATAATCTATTTTACTATAAAACATTGCTATTTGATCTCTGTCTTCCATAGTAAACCGTGCGATAACACTTTTAACGCCCTTGACACAGTTACCTTTGGTTTGAACCTACCATCCGTATTTACTAGCCAGTAATCATGGCAACGTTGCAAGGATGTTATAAGGTATGTAAAATTTTTAATGATCTCACAAGATACACGGAGTAAAAATTTATATACAGTATACACTGGAGTGCAAAGAGATAGGGAGAGAATTTTTTTTAAAATGTGTATGGTTTATTTTTTAAGGGCGCAATAGCCTCATATTGCAATTCAAAAAATATACTCTCATGGCCGCAAACTGATAACTGTATCGGAAAGGGTGGATGTCATATCGTCAAAATTTTTGCCGGATGTCGTAAAGTGCGTTGGTCGACTATATATATTATATATATATATATATATGATATCTATATAATCTATATTATACTTTATATATATATACACATACATACGTACATATAGGAATATGGCACTTTCTTAGCCTGAAAGGTATCCCCAAATTCCTTGTTGCTGTATCGTCTCCCAGAACAAAAATAATAACAATTTGATGGCCCTTTTTGAAAAATGATCGCAAGGGTGCTACCGCTTTAGCAATTCGAGAAAGAGTCTAACACTGGGTGGTATGGCATACCCCCCAGGCGCACAATAACAATTCGTTAGGGAGATTCATAGAATATTTTTTTCCTGGAATGTATCTATATGTGGCCGGGGGTTCTACTTAAAAATCTAGCACTGAGTCATATAAGTGGCCACTTAACTCTCCCTTGACCATAATATACAAAGAGCTAACTTGTCCCTGTACTTCGCAATCTTGAAATATAAAAATTGAACCCAGCTAGGTCCATACATTATTTACAATTCGATGGTAGTAAATGACCGAATCTTCAGTCCACTAGGTTGCTCCACATAATTGAAAAGGGTAATCGAAACGGTGACCAAACTTTTTAGAGTATGATTTACAATACCCTCGCGGTTGGACGCGAATTCTCTCGTGGCTTAATTTGCATTGCCTCACGCCTCGGCCTTTCTTTAAAGCAACACCCACGCCGGGATCATTTGCAGTATAAGAATTCATTTTTCCGACCAATCAGAACTCTTGACTTCAATAACTTAACTTCACCTGTAGTCAGAGTTTGCAGAGCCCATGCTACGTAGCCAGCGTGTGAGGCCCTTGCAAAATCGTCCCGTAGTCATCTCCTACGACTTCTCGGCGCCACCAGCTTTCGCCCGCATGAAAAAACCATTCGCCCACTTAGGTGCCAAATCGAAAAAAATTAGGAAGCCTTGCCAAATAATGAGACCAACCTCGTATGCCCCAAACAAATCAAAACGCCTATGCAACACTTCAAAGAAGAGGTCAATATTTTTCACAAATTAGCTCTATTCGCCCAGCTATGTTATTTATAGGTAGTTGTATAGTTATTATTATGTATTAGTCAAGTGCATTCAAGACAATTTATTATTATTATATTATTATTATTCGTCCAAGAAGACATAGAATAGTTCTCAATCTCTTGGTAATGTCTGAGATAATTGGAAAATCTTTGTCTCCAAGTTGCAAGGATCTGGTTGCATCTAAGTATACGCAAGTTTTTCATGGCTGACCCGGTCAGATTAGTCACATCAGTATATTAAAATTGCGGTTACACGAGAACTCGTGCGTGTGACAATTACGCCACCGCTAACAAGATTTCGCTTTCTCATAGCATACGTGTCGCACTAAGTCTAATTGGAGTGCTATAAAATAACGCTCTCAGACAAAGACCGCGCAGATTGTAAACCGAACAACAAAAACTCTCCTAATCCCCGCTAACGGAAATTAAATCTCCGTGGTTTCGATTTTTTCCAACACACACGCAGACTCCCCAAAAAGAGAAAAATTAGACGTACACAATGCGGCTCGACGAAAAATTGTGGCGAAAGATAATTCATCTTTGAGTAATGCATTCGGAGAATCCCCATAATAAATTTTACACGCATAGACAGCGAGGATCGCAAGAGAAACAGAAAAAAAAATATTTACCGAGTCCAAATCCCCTTAGCCCTACTACTTTTTGAGATCGGATGTGATATAACTTTTAAAAGATTACTTGTTTTCGAACTTCGGATTTAGTATCTTCCCGGACGAGATTAAGTGCGCCCTCCTCCCCGAGACCCGCGATAATGAATGGCTCGCAGGTATCGCAACAATGGCCCTCGCAAAGCCGTAATATTTAGGAGCGAACGCGGGGGCGCGTGTATTGTATTAGGGGCGAGGGCAATGAAAATTACCGTCACTCTCAAGCTGTTTCTCTCCTTGCAGGTTGATATGTTGAGGATCAGCATGCTGTTGAGCTGTATCTTCATGACAAATCCGGCGTTGGACGACAGGATTCTGCAGGCGGCCAACTTGTCAAAGCGGGAAATATCGGACGACTTCGACAAGTACGCGGTTACGTGCTACATATGCGTCAACGTCTCCGATAATCTCGTGTGCAACCAATTCGCAATTGATAGACCGTGCAAGCCGGGTAAGTCGCCCTTATGTTTTACTGTTCAGTTGTTGTTCGCCGTTTAACGAGAAGAGCACGCAGCCGTTAGGTCCATAATCAACATTTATCACTAAAACGCGTCCTGAATAATCTCCTCGCAAGATCCTAAAATAAATTGACTTTGGAAGTCGGGTCGTTACTCATCCCCGAAAAATATCGCGGTTGCTTTTCGGTAATGGTAAGCATACGTCTTACTTAAACGTGCAAGCCCGGTTACACAAAGGTCTTCTGGTTTACCACTTCATTGAGATTGGACTGACATTGAAACGTATTGCGATTACGTTACCTCTAATTAGAGACATCGCAAGGGTACATTAACTAGAAATCACAGCACTTTCCTCCCTTAAATTACAAAATTTGTTTAAAATAATCACCCTGTACTGTACCTCACCCTTCCCATCAATCTTCCACTTGTCCTTTTTCTTCCCTTCTTGTTGTGTTCTTTCAATACAATTGCCCCCCCCCCCCGATTTTTCTATTTCAAGACAGAAAGTTCAAAGAGACTAACGCTAGGACCATTTCTTTTCCTTTGAGACCTGCCAAGATTGAATAAAAGGGGATGATTTTTAATAAACTTTGACCAGATCTTTGTGGTTATACATTTTTTTGAATTCTACAGGTCGAAATTTACAAAAAAATCATCCCCTTTTTGTCGATCTGCGACAGGTCTTGTCCTTGGCGAGTCTAAAAGGAAAAGATAAGGCCCTAGCGTAATATTCTCTTTGAATTTTCTATTTCTGGTTCTCAGATCACGGTGGTCATACATTTTTTGAATTCTACAGGTCAACATTTACCAAAAAAATCGTCCCCTTTTAGTCGCTCTGTCACAGCCCTTGTCTGTGGCAGGACTCAAAGGAAAATAAATGGTCCTAGCGTTATATTCTCTTTCAATTTCAGGTTGTCAGATTATGGTGGTCATACATTTTTTTAATTCTACAGGTCAAAATTTATAGGAAATCATCCCCTTTTCGTCGATCTGCGAGAGGTCTTGTTCTTGACAGGTCTCAAAGGAAAAGTAATGGTCTTAACGTTAGATTCTTTCCGAATTTTCTGTTTCTGGGGTCTCAAAGGAAAAGATAAGGCCCTAGCGTAAGATTCTCGTTGAATTTTTTATTTCTGGTTCTCAGATCACGGTGCGTATACATTTTTTGAATTCTAAAGGTCGAAATTTACAAAAAAATCCCTCCTTTTTGTCGATCTGCGACAGGTGTTGTCCTTGAAGGGTCTCAAAGGAAAAGATAAGGCCCTAGCGTAAGATTCTCTTTGAATTTTTTATTTCTGGTTCTCAGATCACGGTGCGTATACATTTTTTGAATTCTAAAGGTCGAAATTTACAAAAAAATCCCTCCTTTTTGTCGATCTGCGACAGGTGTTGTCCTTGAAGGGTCTCAAAGGAAAAGATAAGGCCCTAGCGTAAGATTCTCTTTGAATTTTTTATTTCTGGTTCTCAGATCACGGTGCGTATACATTTTTTGAATTCTACAGGTCAAAATTTACAAAAAAATCGTCCCCTTTTTGTCGATATGCGACAGGTCTTGTGCTTGACGAGGCTCAAAGGAAAAGATAAGGCCCTAGCGTTAGATTATCTTTGAATTTTCTATTTCTGGTTGTCAGATCATGGTGTTTATACATTTTTTTAATTCTACAGGTTGAAATTTACAAAAAAATCATCCCCATTTTGTTGATCTGCCTCAGTCCTTGTCCGTGGCAGGACTCCAAGGAAAAGAAATGGTTCTAGCGTTAGATTCTCTCTGAATTTTCTGTTTCTGGTTGTCAGATCATGGTGGTTATATATTTTTTGAATTCTAAAGGTCGAAATTTACAAAAAAATCCTCCCTTTTTGTCGATCTGCGACAGGTCTGGTCCTTTACGGGTCTCAAAAGAAAAGATAAGGCCCTAGCGTAAGATTCTCTTTGAATTTTCTATTTCTGGTTGTCAGATCATGGTGTTTATACATTTTTTTAATTCTACAGGTTGAAATTTACAAAAAAAATCATCCCCTTTTTGTTGATCTGCCCCAGTCCTTGTCCGTGGCAGGACTCCAAGGAAAAGAAATGGTTCTAGCGTTAGATTCTCTCTGAATTTTCTGTTTCTGGTTGTCAGATCATGGTGGTTACATATTTTTTGAATTCTAAAGGTCGAAATTTACAAAAAAATCCCCCCTTTTTGTCGATCTGCGACAGGTGTTGTCCTTGACGAGTCTCAAAGGAAAAGATAAGGCCCTAGCGTAATATTCTCTTTGAATTTTCTATTTCTGGTTCTCAGATCACGGTGGTCATACATTTTTTGAATTTTACAGGTCGAAATTTACAAAAAAATCGTCCCCTTTTTGCCGATGCGACAGTTCTTGTCCTGGACAGCCCTCAAAGGAAAAGATAAGGTCCTAGCGTTAGATTCTCTTTGAATTTTCTATTTCTGGTTGTCAGATCATGGTGGGTATACGTTTTTTGAATTTTACAGGTCAAAATTGATAAGAAATCATCCTGTGAAGGACAAGAGCTGTGGCAGATCGACGAAAAGGGAATGATTTCTTATAAATTTCGACCTGTAGAATTCAAAAAATGTATAGCCACCATAATCCAAGAACCAGAAACGGAAAATCCAAAGTGAATATAACGCTTGGGCAATTTCTTTTCCTTTGAAACCCGTCAAAGACAAGAGATTGAAGAAACGGGGATGATTTCTTATAAATTTTGACCTGTAGAATTCAAAAAATGTATAGCCACCATAAACCAAGAACCAGAAACGGAAAATCCAAAGTGAATATAACGCTTGGGCCATTTCTTTTCCTTTGAAACCCGTCAAAGACAAGAGATCGAAGAAACGGGGATGATTTCTTATAAATTTTGACCTGTAGAATTCAAAAAATGTATAGCCACCATAAACCAAGAACCAGAAACGGAAAATCCAAAGTGAATATAACGCTTGGGCCATTTCTTTTCCTTTGAAACCCGTCAAAGACAAGAGATCGAAGAAACGGGGATGATTTCTTATAAATTTTGACCTGTAGAATTCAAAAAATGTATAGCCACCATAATCCAAGAACCAGAAACGGAAAATCCAAAGTGAATATAACGCTTGGGCCATTTCTTTTCCTTTGAAACCCGTCAAAGACGAGAGATCGAAGAAACGGGGACGATTTCTTATAAATTTTGACCGGTAGAATTCAAAAAATGTATAGCCACCATAATCCAAGAACCAGAAACGGAAAATTCAAAGCGAATATAACGCTTGGGCCGTTTCTTTTCCTTTGAAACCCGTCAAAGACAAGAGATCGAAGAAACGGGGATGATTTCTTATAAATTTTGACCTGTAGAATTCAAAAAATGTATAGCCACCATAATCCAAGAACCAGAAACGGAAAATTCAAAGTGAATATAACGCTTGGGCCATTTCTTTTCCTTTGAAACCCGTCAAAGACAAGAGATTGAAGAAACGGGGCTGATTTCTTATAAATTTTGACCTGCAGAATTCAAAAAATGTATAGCCACCATAATCCAAGAACCAGAAACGGAAAATCCAAAGCGAATATAACGCTGGGGCCATTTCGTTTCCTTTGAAACCCGTCAAAGGCAAGAGATCGAAGAAACGGGGATGATTTCCTATAAATTTCGACCTGCAGAATTCAAAAAATCTGCAACCACAAAGATCTGACAACCAAAACAGAGAAAACTCAAAGAGAATCTAACGCTAAGACCATTTGTAGCGATAGATAACCTCCATGATACGTAGACCTCATTTTGACGTGATGAATCCATACGGCACGGCTATGCGTTTTCCGTTGCTGTGTTACTCCGATGTAATAAATCTATGCGGTACAGGTATCTGTTTTATCTTTGTTTGACACGTGAAGATAGTCCAGCTGACGGATGCGATCTAATACAATTACTGAGAACAAACTCTTGAGACGTTGAAAACCGTTTAAACTTCCTCCATCAATTACTTTGCAAATTGAATAACAATAGACCACCTTGCGTCGAAATTAAGTTTGCCTAAGGCTCTCAAATTATGGAAAACAATTACATTGTCGGAGAAATGGAAATTTTCGATCGTGTAAAGGACGGAAAAAAATAAAGGCAGGGGAAATGATGAAACCCTGCTTGGGGCGAAGTTAAAATGAGGTATCCTATTGCACATGGTATAATTCAAAGAAAATTATACTGTACCGTTTCGGTGTAATTACTAATTTAAGGCATATTAACGAAACAAGCTAACCCAACCTAAACCCTAAACCGCACGGACCGCAAGAAACAGGCCGACGTCCTAACCTCCACGATCCCGAAACGTATGAGAGAATGCCATAAATCTCGCCCGCTATTGATAAATAATTCGTGAACCCTCCGTCCTTAGCACTAAATAACTGTTGGACAAATTAGATCTCTCTCCCATTGTTGCCGTTCATTTTTAATAAAGCCACTTCGAGGGAAAACCGTCGAAATCAAATTTGCGCTCCGTTAAAAGATATTTTAAATCCAATTCGCTTTAAAGTTAAACATAATCTCCTTTGACTAATGGATGTAATGCCGTTATACATTTTACGATTAATTTTAGGGGAAACCTTCTGCCACACTCTTCACATAATGGATTCGAAGGGCAACAGCGTTCTAGTCAATAAAAAGTGTACGACGGAAAAGGAGTGCCAAAGGACAAAGGTGGGATGCGTCGAGATCGACATGCAAACCGTAAGTGTTTCTTTCGCATCCGATATTGGCCTCGAAAATCGCCACGTTTTCGTTTTCCAGATGTGCGTCGCGTGCTGCGATCAGAACTATTGTAACGTGAACGTGCCGACAAACACTTCGAACGCAATTTACGACGATAAGATCTCAAAAATGCGAATGCTCGCGAAAAATTTATTTCGCGAAAGGGAGAAGGCGCTCACGACGACCATAAAAGAGGGCGCCGCACCAAGAAGACTTCCATTAGTATTTACTCATCTAATTGTAATATCAATCTTTGTTAATTATTACCGATTTTTATTGTAAGCCATTTTAAAGAAGGGTATCAGATTTATATATTTTCTATAAACTTGGATGTACACGCTTTTTAAAGGGCAACATTTCGCTCGGCGACTTGTTGAACTTTAGAAGTTTCTGCTTCGACAAAGAAACGGCCGATTTATATTTGATATAAAGCTTTATCGATGTTGAACTGCACCGTTCACCTATCAGAAAGTGCCGACGGCCCCCGGTTAAATTTCGCGATTTTCGAAAATCGAGCTCGGCTGACGAGCCACGCTCGCTCCGAGTCGCTTCGGTAGCGAACCGAAACTGAAAATAACTAATTCCGGCCGAGACAAGCCGGCGCCATTTTTCTGTAGATGAACAACAAACGCCACAAATACGCTGTGTTCACACCCAGCTCGCAGTGTTGCCACAAGTTTTCGATGCAACCTCTGTTCTCAATTCGCCTCTTTGTTTTGTGCTTTTTACAACTGCGGCGCACCTTTTTCAAAATGAACAGATATAAATCGGACCAAGAAACGGTTATGATATTTGTAAATATTTCAATGGAATAAACTGCATTACAGGATCATAAGCAAACATTTTTAGAATCTCCATTCTGCAGGATGGAAATTCAGACACGAATTCGCTGAAATTCACGTTTAAGATGCCTACCCTCTGCCACTTAAACCAGAAACCTGGGACAATGACATTGGGCCACCTTGACAGTTTTCAGTGATCTCCACAGGTTTTTGGTGACATAATCAGAAAGTAATAATAATTGGGGGATGGGAATGCTACATTTTTTTAAAACAGAACAAGCAAAATAAACATTGAGAAAAACTGGCACGCCATCGGAACTCGTGACCGACGCTAACATTGTTGCCAGGTTTCGTTCGGCATCTGCGCAGAACGGTCGAAGTCGAAGACATCACGATGTTTGTATACACAGAGCGTTTCGTATTTCTTTCTCATACGGCAGTTTTCTCCGATGTAAGGTGTCTTAATGTCTAACCATAGGGATAGGCGTTTTTCTTTAAAAACCTTATGGCTCTCCAAACGTCTCTAAGCCCCTTTATGGATCAGGCAGTATCTAAGAGCTTCCAATGACATTTATAGGCTTTTAGTCTTTGAGATTATGTCCTCTTTCTTTAACCGCTTTTAAGGGTATCTAAAAACACACAGTATATTTTCCTGTAATACTAACCCCCCCCCCCCCCCCCCCCATATATATAAGTAAAGTTCAAAGGGCTGTAACTTTTGATCTAGTAGTCCAACCTTGGAACTGTTTCTACGGGCCAAACTCTATAAGAAAATGTTTTTTCCTGGTCGATCTCAGACAATTTTTTTTCCGGCCTCAAAAAAAGGCAGTTATTTACCTTCCTTTTTTACCAAAAATCGACTGTTCCAAAATTTCTCGGGAAACACTTTTTCTCACTAATTTTGGTGCGTAGAATCCAAAACGATTCGTACTTTTTCGATCAGACCTCTCAATCAAAAGTTATGGACTAAATACAAATTTATATATATATATATATAAAGTTCAAAGGGCTGTAACTTTTGATCTAGTAGTCCAATCGTGGAACTGTTTGAAATTATGGATTGTACGGGCCAAACTCTATAAGAAAATGTTTTTTCCCGGTCGATCTCAATTTTTTTTTCTGGCCTCAAAAAAAAGCAGTGTATTACCTTCCTTTTTTTTACCAAAAATCGACTGCTCCAAAATTTCTCGGGAAAACACTTTTTCTCACCAATTTTGGTGCGTAGAATCCAAAACGATTCGTACTTTTACTAAATACAAATTTCGACAATGATCTCGCGAGTTCCTGTCGCCCCCAAGCTTTCACACGCAAATAACTACTACAAAAGTTTCCATATTCCTTTATTATTGCTGCTTTTTTTGGGTTCGGAATGGGTTTTGTAACATTTAATTATCAGCATTGGAACAGTGCTAAACAAGGATATGAGAACTTACTAATAAATTGACTAGAATCTTGAACATTAATGAAAAAAACAAACGAGTAACACAAACACGTCGCTAAATTATGACAAACCAAGATCGCAACCGTTGGACAAAGAAAATTCTTTGGAATTGTTCAAGATCGCCTCGTCGTTTTCTAAAATCTACAAGATCCGTTACTAGATGCACGTCAAAGTGATCAATTTATTACCCCGAGAATGGCGTTCGACTCGTCGCCGTAGCTTTCGCTGTCCGGAAAAGACATCGTTTCGATTGAGTGATCGTACTGAAGCGCTCCGCCTGCAAACGGTTGACTTGTATTTTTGAGTCTATTTTGAGTCTTACATGTCTGATTTTTCTCCTTGAACTCGTCGAAGGGGACAACGTTGCCGCATTCGTCGATGTACTGAATATTCGCCGGGGTGATGACGTGGGAGCTGAATTGCGCGTGAATGTCGTCGAGGGTGGTCGACGGTAGGAAGTAGTGGTCTTGTCCGATTTCGTCGCCGGACGGTCCCGGACTTTCGATCGCCATGCTCACGCTTCCGTCCTGTCCGCAACGCTGCACGACGGTCGCAACCACGGGGATCTTGATCTGCACGTTGCTTCCCAGAGATTTACCTGGTGGAACTGTAGCGATTAAAGCATCGGCGGCGTGATCGACTTACTTGTGGAAGGTGCGTCGTCGAGATCATCGACTTGTGCTAGAGGATCGCCTTCCTTCTTGACGCCTTCGTCTACCTGGGGCGTGATCGTGATTTGCCCGTGCCTTTTCAAGTCCTCGGCGGTCGCAGGTATCAGCATCTGAACGGAATGAAATTATGGAGTGGTTGGGGAGGAGCGTTCGGAACAGACCTGTTTATCACCGGCGGCCAAAACTCGTACCAACACAGGGATGCCGTTTAATGGGCGAAGAAGGGCGAAGGGAGTTTGGTCAGTGGCCAGGGCGTGCTGCATGGCGGCGGTTTTAATGGGTTCGACCAGCACTCCATTGGAGGATCTAAAAGTGAAGGGGCTAAGGGAAAACGGTTGGGGAGAGCGGGGATACTGACTTGGCACCGGAAAAGGAGGTGGCGCTGGATTCGGGACTTTCGAGACCGTGCTCGCACTGCTCGTGGTTGCGCAAGCTGATGCGCTTCTCGAAATCTCGTCCGCAAATTTGGCACATGTGGCGCGGTTTATCGGAGCGATGATGTGCCTAATTGGGCGTGAGTTGTTTTAAGTTGTAATAAGTGGGGGGCTTCTCGCTTACTGACAGATTGTGTGCAAGAAAACGATTCAGAATTTCAAACTCCCCCCCCCCCCCGCTGAGGGCGGTTTCATTGCCATTTTCGGAATACCACGACACGCATGCGGAAGTTTCAAAATGTTTAGAAAATGGTTCTCTCGTTCGCTAGAGGTATTTTGTACCGCTCAACCCCCCCCCCCCCCGTTTATGTTCTCTGCAGTACGGAGAGGAGGATCTCAATCCTCCAACAACTGTCATTAATTCTGAAACCTAAACGTTTTGTAAATGAAGGTATTACCGGGGTATGGACCCCCCCACCCCTCCCCAGTAGACGACAGTTGCATTTCCGGAATACCACCAGAAGTGTGCGGAAATATTACCACCATTTTTTGGAAATGGTTGATTCGGTCGTTTGCTTGGGGGGGGATTGAAATAACCCCCCCCCCCCCGGTTCTATGTTCTCATAATTCTTCTCCAACAACGGTCATTAAATCTGAAGCCTAAACGTTCTGTAAATGAAGGTGTTACTGGAGGGTATCAAATACCCCCAAGTAGACGACAATTCCATTGCGATTTCCGGAACACTACCCCAAGTGTGCGAAAGTTTTAAGAATTTTTAGGAAATGGTCGATTCTGTCGTTTGTTGAGCGGTATTCTATACCCCCCCAGACTCCCCGATTCTATGTTCTCTGCGGTATGGAGAAGAGGATCTAATAAATGAAGGTGTTTTTGCGGGGTATGTAATACGACCCCCCCCCCCCCCCCCCCCCCCAACCACCATTTCCAGAATACCACCACACGAGTGTTGAAGTTTTAACGAAATTTTTCGGGGAGGTATTCCATACGAAAGTCTTCGTACTCAACATCGTCATGAAATCTATATTTTCACGCCTACTTAATGTCCGGAAAATGACACATTACTGGCGAGGAAATATGTAATTTAATTTTAATTTCCGAGTCAAGTAATGCCATTTTGCTGATAAATTTTGTATTAAATTTTGCCCGAAATCGTATTTTAATATAAAATTTGATGACAGGTGTCATTATAGACATTTAACAGTGTGGCAAGTGCTGCCCGTAAAGTGACATGCGGCGGAAAAAGTAGTCTGCTAATGTTTTACTAGTAGTGAATCTATGTTTTGTCCGCGGGGGGGATATTTTATATAAACGATTTTTTGGCATCTCCGCTAGTTTCCGCAGTAATCGACTCTCTCGAACATCCTGTATATAAACTTAACCGCAACTGGTCAAAGAAATGACCGCTGCAACCCAGTAAATCATCCCCTGAAACTGATATCTATTCTAATCAAGAATTCTTGATTCAAAAGTACTGTATATAACCCCCTATTTATTATCGTTCTGTTTCGAATTCCACGTCCTTATTATACTCTGACAAAAACGAAATTTACCCCTCGTTAAATTAATAATTGTTTTATGATACTATTCTCGGGCCCCACGTTATTACGACTTCACACGCTTTTTTTACTTTTGTTAGAGTTTATTACTAATAATTTTTTTTTAGGTTTTTAGATGGGCAAGGCGCAGTTCTGAAATCTGGAAGACTTAACTTATTCCGATTTAAACACATTTAGTGCAAAATCAGAAGTGGGATTCGACGTATATAATGTACCATCGGAATTGTAGTTCAGCGAGAAGCCCCCAGTAAGCCCACCTCACCTTCATTTTGTGGCACATCAAGTTGGACATCTGATTGAAGCCCTTGAAGCATATCTCGCACTTGTACGGTCGCTCGTTGGTGTGCGTGAAAATGTGGTTTCTCAAATTACCTGTGGGGGGGCACCACTGAAATCGGTGTCTCAGGTTCCGGTACCTACCTTTCTGGTGGAACGCCTTGTTGCACAGGTGGCACTGGTGCGGCTTGAGTCCGGTGTGCGTCTTGCGGTGCGAGATTAGGGTGGAGACGCGATTGAAGGTCTTGTGGCACATCTCGCAAATGTACGGCCTGTCGGCCGAGTGGATGGCCCGATGCTGGGATAAGGTCGACATCTGCCGGAATGCTGTGGACGGCCCGGTCAGGTGACTTGCACGCCATTAGCGTTGCTTACCCTTGCCGCACACGTTGCATTGGTATTTCCTTTCGTCGGTGTGGGTGGGGAGGTGACGCATGAGGGTGTACTGGTGGCCGAACTCCTTCGCGCAAATTCTGCACTCCCACACTTTGCTCAGCTTGTCGTCCTGCATTACGTGCTTGACGAAGTGCGTGCCGCTGTCGCCCTCGCTGATGTCGCCCAATTGAATGGCGTGCTTCGAAATCAGCTTCCGTCCATCGAGGCTCTCCAGATCAAAGATTTGCCCCTTTTCCGCCTCTTGCTTGATACTCGCGCTGAAAAACTTCATCACCACCTGCAGGCCCGATAACAACGTACCTTTCCAAGTTGTACCCGTCGGCCGAGTCCGGGTCGATCACTATCAAATCCGGGTCCATCATGTACAGCGCCATTCCACCTGAAATCACTCACGCGTAATGGCGACGGAAATTTGAGCTTGAAAGTCATGTTACTGACTGAAAGCTAGAACTACTTCAAAAGCTAGTGACGTTTACGCCGTGTAACTGACATATTAATTCCTACTTTCAAATTTTTAAACAAAACAGAGATTTTGCAAGTGAATCTGTTTTAAAAATGGAAAATTTGAAAATCATTTGATTACCGTATTTTGTTAACCGCCGCTACGATTTTAAAATCTTCACCACAAACCGTTGATGGCGGTCGTTTGAAGCACGGTCGCGATAGTGGCGCCGCCACGGTTGTTTTGACAACTGGAATTAGTTCGCGCGTTTGCCATTGTACAATTAACGATGGACCCGCTCTCGTGTAACTAGTAACTGCGCTCATTTTTGCTACTAACTCGAAAACGAGGCGTTTGCTTTATCGGCGCGGCCATTTTTAAAAGTGCTGGGTTTGTTTTTGAATTTCCCGCGAAATAAAAATTGTGTAAGGTTGGCACTAACTGATTTTCATTTATTTAATTCCAGTGGCGTATCCGACGTGCATTCTGTAAATTGTTAACGTCCACTAAATATCAGAATGGCGACAGTTCAATTTGTACATTGACTGTAGACGAGTTGCATACAGAATTCTCAAAACCTTTAAAGGTGTGATGCATTTAGCACATACGATACGTAAATTTGATTTATTTATATAAAATTATCTATGTTCACAGGAAATAACACCAATACAAGAGCAAGAATTTCGCTATTTATCACTTCGGCATTGATGGAATTAAACACAATTCAATTTGCTTACGTAGCATAGAAAAAGCCTCCAATGGGAATGCGCCACATTCGCTTGATCCTGATGATCGTCTTAAAGACTTGGCATTGGGTCCAGGACTCTAAAAGCTTACGGAATATCTTTGAAGGTTCTCGTAAGCAGTTTGACGTCCCTTAAAGGTTTCCGGAGATCCATAAAGGCTTAATTCATGAGTTTGGATTTTAATGAGAGAAAAACAGCTTTTGGTAGGCTCTTGAAGCAAAGTTTAAAAACCCATAAAAGGTTTTTAAGGCTCGAATTTTCCTCAAGGACGTTTAAAGCTCCTGATCTGTTCGTTAAGGCTATTAGAAGCTCTGGGTGATCTTTAAAGGCGGCTCCTAAAGGCGTTTCTAAGCCCATAAGAGCATAAAACATCTCGTGCCCTTCAGAAACTCATAGAAGGCTTTAAAAACCTATATGAACATACCACAGTTTTAATGACCACATTTAAAGCGAGAAGAGCTCTAAAAGTTTATGAAAGGACACCCTTTTTTTTTTTTAATGGATCTGTTGTGTATACACCCCTAGACCCCCCCGGTACTACGTTCTGTGCTGCACCCCTTGGGAGAAAAGGGTGGGATGAACCTTTCTTGAAAGGGCCAAAGTCTAAATATTTTGTGTGAGAAAGTGATACGGTGGGTATGCCCACAACGCAAGTACCCGATGGGGATAATCATTTACAGAAATTTTCCCTACAACATTCAGTGCTCCCATGATACTTTTGTATAACTGGCAATGGATTTGTTGTATGTACTGGGGGGTATTCCAGACCCCTCTGTATTACGTTCTGTGTTGTATGTTTAAGGAGAACAGGACTTGATGACTCTTTCCCGAAAACTATTCTGACGTTGCTCAAGTGTAAACGTTTTCTAGGGGGGGGGGGGGGGGTATGGAATACCCCCAGCACACAACAGATTCCTTTGCTGTAGTACTACTGCATAGAACGTAGTACCCGAGGGTATGGGGATAACCCCCAGCAAAGAAAGGTTCCCTATAACCCTCAATATTCCTATGATGCTTTTCTATAAATGACAATGGATCTGTTGTGTACGGGGGGGGTTAGTATTACAGGAAAATATACTGTTGTGTGTTTTTAGATACTCTTAAAAGCAGTTAAAGAAAGAGGACATAATCTCAAAGTTTGGCCCGTAGAATCCATAATTTCCAACAGTTCCAAGGTGAACTTTATATATATATATATATATATATATATATATAGAAATTTGTATTTAGTCCATAACTTTTGATTGAGAGGCCTGATCGAAAAAGTACGAATCGTTTTGGATTCTACGCACCAAAATTAGTGAGAAAAAGTGTTTTCCCGAGAAATTTTGGAGCAGTCGATTTTTGGTAAAAAAAGTCAGGTAAATAACTGCCTTTTTTTGAGGCCGGAAAAAAAATTGTCTGAGATCGACCGGGAAAAAACATTCTCTTATAGAGTTTGACCCGTAGAATCCATAATTTCAAACAGTTCCAAGATTGTACTACTAGATCACAAGTTACAGCCCTTTGAAGTTTTGTATATATATATATATATATTCCATACCCCTAGCTAACACCACCTTTTACAAACTGGTCCCATGATAGTCGTGGAGGAAGGATTATGACGGCATGTTATCCGTACCACAAAAAATAAAAATAGCACCGAGGGGTGTGGACCCCCCCCCCCCCCCCCCATAGTACCTTCTTTTACAAATAGAAGAGAATTCTGCGCAATCCACGCTTTCAATTTGCACATGTGCGCGTTAGATTTGAACGTACGATCTATTTTTATTAGAGATCTGCCAAAGTTTCAGCAAAATCGCGGCATAAATAACAATATTCGTTCATACCAGAGGAGTTGATACTCAGTCATACCGATAAGATCTCTCGCCAAATAAAAAATGTTCACTCTCAGGTTCCTACAGGAGTATTCTGCCTATTTCTCCTAAATGCGCCTAAAGTAAAAGTGTCAAAAGGTGGTGAACATGTCCATACCACTGTTTTAATATGCCCATGCGCATATTAGCAAAGAAGTCCTCCACCAAAATTTCAATAAAATAGCTCCGCGCAGAGATTTTGAAACGTTTTTTATGGGAAGACACTGCGCACTATTACCGAGATGTACGCATGCGCATCGTAGTCTAAGATCAGAATTGTTGCATCTGCGCACGGACGAATTGCGCATTTGCGACTGTTTCAATCAGTGACGACTTTTTGCGAGGGGCCCATTATTTTCGAAAAATAAACGCCTTAAATAATAACGTAGGTTCTGCGCATGCGCGCAATTCAGCGAAACCACCACACACAAAAAATAGTTAAGAGATACAGAAAAATGTTTATTACAAAAGCATCTTTATAATGAATAATTGAAGTTATTTTCAAAATAAGTATTCTGGGTCGGATAAAACCTTATCAGACCTAACTTCGTTTTTTAAATGGAACACCCTGTATATTTCGATGATCTCGACCAGGCAAAATAGTAAAAAGTTCAATGTCATAAACGTTCTTCATCAAATAAGCGTACGTGCAAATTCGTATTGAGAACTATCGCTAAAAAACAGAAAGCAAGTGAACTTTTCCACATTAAGAATTGTTTTACAACAAAAATTAACAGAATAACCATTTTCAAATTGACTTACTTTCCGCGCCTTTTTATCTGTCATACCTTTAGGCCGCTTAGTACCGCAAAACTGACTTTTTCGAGTAAAAACTTAATTTGATGCTTATCCACTCCCAACTATACATCCAACCATTGACCTAAAAACATATAAATAAAATCAAAAATTAAAAATAAAAACAAAATAATTGTGAATTTAAGAGGAAAACCTACTCACTCGTACCTACCTTTTCATTTTTCGTCGTTATTCTTCCATTGTATCTTCGCAAATCGGACATAATAAGGACACAAAATTGCAAATCAATAAATTTATTTAATACAAATGTAGTTAAACTTAAATAATGTCTTTGGAATACAAAAGGCCATGGTAAAATAAGTAAACTCTGGTAAGTATCAAAATCGCACTGCATAATTTACAATCGTTGTAGAGGTGGTTGAAAAAAAAAACGTTTTTTTTAAGGAACAAAAAGCCGCCCGTTTCTCTGAGGTGAAGCTAAAACGGTGCCCGAACTATAAAAGATCACGTGTTCGCGCTTTATGTCAACCTTAAAATACTGTGAGAAGCGACCCAGGTCAGTTAAAATTGTCTTGTGAACCGAATGAATAAATAATACATTAAAACGGAAAATTAAAAAAAGAACTTCCCGGATATACTAATCCCTCTTAGTAGTTTTCAACAACTTTTTTAAAATGTATCTGTACAGGATCGGGTAAGGTAGGAAAAATAGGAGACCGACGTAGTTCACCGAACCGAACACGAGCCAGTATCGTTCGAACTTTAGAAGCGCGAACGGCAACAGGCACCACCCCATGAATACGAACGTGTACACTCTCTGTAAAAGTGTAAGGATCAGGCTAACGGCCGGTCTCTGCAGAAATTTCGACACCTCCTGGTTCGATTTAACGATCTGCCTCACCTGGAACGATTTTGTTAGCCGGTACAAGAGCCACGGAATTTTGCTTACGTCTCGTTCTAAATACATCACGATGAACTCGAACGCGAAGCACACGTAGTATCCGCTATGGAAGCCGTGCCAGACCGCCAAGAAGATCAGCGAGATCGCCTGGCTGTAGTAGCGAGATCCGAGAAATTTAAGCCTCTTGTAAACGTAGTGGGCGACCCAGCTGTTTGTGTTGATATTGAAGGAGAGGATGTAATGATTGAATTCTGTCGCGCTCTCCAATAGCGACACCTTAACGTTCTCCACGCCGTTCCACTTTATCGCACCGAATTCGTCGACGCCATTATGCGTGATACCTGAAACGTACTTTTTTAGAATTTTTGAAAAATCGGCCTTCAAAAAACCTAAATGTTTAGAAACTGCTTCTCAAATTTTGAAAAAGTATGTCGATTCTATGGACAAATTCATTTTCCAAACTTTCAAAAATTCAAAAAAATGTATACCCACATTGTCGAGCCTCCAGAGTGCTACTATGACCAATGTCTATGCACAACATAATGCAGACTTTTCGATTGGCTTTCAAAACAATTTCAAAAAATAATCGCAAATAAACAAAAACTTCCAAAATTTCAAATTTCAGTGAAAAAGTATGCCTATGCTCTGTACAAATTCATTTTCAGAATTTCAAAAAATTCAAAAAAATGTATACCAGCATTGTTGAGCCTCCAGAGTACTACTATGATCGGTTTCCATATTTCAAAACAATTACAAACACTAGAACGGCGCAACAGTATTACATACTTTTCGATTGGATTTCAAAATAATAAAAATAATCGCAAATAAACAAAAACTTCCACAATTTCAAATTTTGGTGAAAAAGTACACCTATGCTCTGTACAAATTCATTTTCTGAATTTCAAAAAATTCAAAAAAATGTATACCCGTACTGTTGAACTTCCAGAGTACAAGTATGACCGGTTTCCATGCTTCGAAAAAATTACAAATGCAAGAATGGCACAACAGTTTTACACACGTTTCGATTAGCTTTAAAAAAAAATAAAAAAAATGATCGCAAATAAAGAAAAAAAAGTATGTCGATGCTTGGTTCAAGTTCATTTTCTAAATTTCAGAAAATTCAAAAAATGTATACTAACACTGTCAAGTTTCCAAAATACTAGTATGATCGGTTTCCATGTTTCAAAACAATTACAAACACTAGAACGGCGCAACAATATTGCATACTTTTCGATTGGCTTTCAAAAGAATTTCAAAAAATAATCGCAAATAAACAAAAACTAACACAATTTCAAATTTTGGTGAAAAAGTATGCCATTGCTCCGTACAAATTAGTTTTCTAAATTTCAGAAAATTCAAAAAATGTATACTAACACTGTGTCCGTACTACTATGACCGGTTTCTATGCTTCAAAAAATTACAAATGCAAGAAAGGCTCAACAGTACCACACACTTTTTGATTGGCTTTCAGAAAAACTTCAAAAACTAATCGCAAATAAACAAAAACTTCCAAAATTTCAAATTTCAGTGAAAAGGTACACCTATGCTCTGTACAAATTCATTTTCTGAATTTCAAAAAATTCAAAAAAATGTATACCTGTACTGTTGAACTTCCAGACTACAATTATGACTGGTTTCCATGCTTCGAAAAAATTACAAATGCAATAATGGCACAACAGTATTACATACGTTTCGATTGCCTTTCAAAAAAATTAAAAAAATAATCGCAAATAAAGAAAAACTTTTTCAATGAAAAAGTATGTCGATGCTTGGTTCAAGCATTTCAAAAAATTCAAAAAATGTATACTAACACTGTCAAGTTTCCAAAGTACTAGTATGATCGGTTTCCATGTTTCAAAACAATTACAAACACTAGAACGGCGCAACAATATTACATACTTTTCGATTGGCTTTCAAAAGAATTTCAAAAAATAATCGCAAATAAACAAAAACTAACACAATTTCAAATTTTGGCGAAAAAGTATGCCGATGCTCGGTACAAATTAATTTTCTAAATTTCAAAAAATTCAAAAAGTGTATACCAGCATTGTTGAGCCTCCAGAGTACTACTATGGCCGGTTTCTATGCTTCAAAAAATTACAAATGCAAGAAAGGCTCAACAGTACCACATAGTTTTCGATTGTCTTTCAAAAAAACTTCAAAAACTAATCGCAAATAAACAAAAAATTCCGAAATTTCGGTGAAAAGGTATACCTATGCTCTGTACAAATTCATTTTCTGAATTTCAAAAAATTAAAAAAAAAATGTATACCCGTACTGTTGAGCTTCCAGAGTACAAGTATGACCGTTTCCATGCTTCGAAAAAATTACAAATGCAAGAATGGCACAACAGTATTACATACGTTTGGACTAGCTTCCAAAAAAATTAAAAAAATAATCGCAAATAAAGAAACACTTCTAAAATATCATATTTCAATGAAAAAGTATGTTGATGCTTGGTTCAAGTTCAATTTCAACATTTCAAAAAATTCAAAAATTGATACTAACATTGTCAAGTTTTCAGAGTACTAGTATGATCGGTTTCAATGTTTCAAAACAATTACAAACACTAGAACGGCGCAACAGTATTACATACTTTTCGATTGGCTTTCAAAAGAATTTCAAAAAATAATCGCAAATAAACAAAAACTTCGAAAAAGTATGCCGATGCTCTACAAATTAATTTTCTAAATTTCAAAAAATTCAAAAAGCGTATACCAGCATTGTTGATCCTCCAGAGTACTACTATGACCTGCTTCTATGCTTCAAAAAATTACAAATACAAGAATGGCACAACAATACTACATAGGTTTCGATTGGCTTTCAAAAAATCTTCAAAAACTAATCGCAAATAAACAAAAACTTCCAAAATTTCAAATTTTTGTGAAAAAGTATGTAGATGCTCTGTACAAATTAATTTTCTAAATTTCAAAAAATTTATACTAACATTGTCACGTTTGCAGAGTACTACTATGACCGGTTTCAAGAATCAAAAAATTACAAATACAAGAAATGCACAACAGTATCCACATACTTTTCGAAGGGCTTTCAAAAAAATTTCAAAAAATAATCGCAAATAAACAAAAAATTCCAAAATTTCAAATTTCGGTGAAAAAGTATGCCTATGCTCTGTATAAATTCATTTTGTGAAAATCAAAAAATTCAAAAAATGGATACCCGTACAGTTGAGCTTCCAGAGGACTAGTATGGCTGGTTTCCAGGCTTTACAAATGCAAGAATGGAACAACAGTATTACATGCGTTTCGATTGGCTTTCAAAAAATTAAAAAAACACTGGCAAATAAAAAAGAACCTCTAAAATTTCACATTTCAGTGAAAAAGTATGTTGATGCTTGGTTCAAGTTCATTTTTTAATTTCAAAAAATTCAATAAATGTATACTAACATTATCACGTTAGCAGAGTACTACTATGACCGGTTTCAAGAATCAAAAAATTACAAATACAAGAAATGCACAACAGTATCCACATACTTTTCGAAGGGCTTTCAAAAAAATTTCAAAAAATAATCGCAAATAAACAAAAAATTCCAAAATTTCAAATTTCGGTGAAAAAGTATGCCTATGCTCTGTATAAATTCATTTTCTGAATTTCAAAAAATTCAAAAAATGTATACCCGTACAGTTGAGCTTCCATAGGACAAGTATGACTGGTTTCCATGCTTTACAAATGCAAGAATGGAACAACAGTATTACATACGTTTCCATTGGGTTTCAAAAAATTAAAAAAAACACTGGCAAATAAAAAAGAACTTCTAAAATTTCACATTTCAGTGAAAAAGTATGTTGATGCTTGGTTCAAGTTCATTTTCTAAATTTCAAAAAATTCAAAAAATGTATACTAACATTGTCACGTTTCCAGAGTACTACTATGACCGGTTTCAAGAATCAAAAAATTACAAATACAAGAATTGTACAACAGTATCCACATACTTTTCGAAGGGCTTTCAAAAAAATTTCAATAAATAATCGCAAATAAACAAAACCTTCCAAAATTTCAAATTTCGGTGAAAAAGTATGCCTATGGTCTGTACAAATTCATTTTCTGAATTTCAAAAAATTCAAAAAATGTATACCAGCATTGTTGATCTTCCACAGTACAAGTATGACCGGTTTCCATGCTTCGAAAAAATTACAAATACAAGAATTGAATAACAGTATCACATAATTTTCGATTGGCTTTTAAAAAAATTTCAAAAAACAATCGCAAATAAAAATACTTCTAAAATTCCAAATTTCTGTGAAGGTGTAATTGCTACGAATTTATTAAAAAAATTTAAAAAAATAGTACGCCTCCATAAATGTATTATGACAGTGTTTTCATGCACTACAAAAATTTAAAAATTCAAAAAAGTAGCGACAAATAAATTAAAAAAATTAGTTTCAAAGACAAATAGATCCAAATTTACAGTACAGTGTTTTTTTAATTTTTATGAAAAAGTATGTAAATAAATGCTCTGTACAGAATTTAAAAAAATCTAGAAAACTGTACTCAAATAATTAATCCATCCAGGAATCTATTTTCATTGTAATTTAAAAAATCCAAAAAGTAGTCCGCTCCAGCGTACATCCAAACTTAAAAATATTTTTGTTTAAAGAAATATTCCCGAATAAATTTATGCGTTCGCTTCTGCTAAAAAAAAATTATGTAAGCGCACATTCATTTAAAAAAAAAATCAAAAAATAGTCTACAGAAATCTATAGATACTGGTTTCATGCAAAACAAAAATAAAAAAGTAGCCGCAAATAATCAAAAATTAGATATAGGTAAATCAGTTTTTTATTTTTAGAAATTAAAAAAAATTTCACGAAAAAAACATTTATACCAAGTCATATCTTTCCTCATTTTTGTACAAAAGTTCAATCATGTCCACCAAAATGGCGAAGCAGTGTATATAAATTAGTTTTTATTGGCGTTTATCAAAAAACAAAAAAATATTCAAAAAGGTAATCCAAAACAATCAAAAAATCAAAAAAATTTAAAAAAAGGACTATTTTGTAAGTACTGTCAGGAATCTAATTACAAAAAGTTCATGGATCCCAAATCCAAAATTTTAAAAAAAATAAAATTACTCCTAAAAATTTTGGAATAATTTTTGAAATTCAAAAAGAGCTCCATAATTGCAATACTTACCAAACAAAATGCACGCACCCTCCGTAAGTAACCAGCACGAAATATACTTATACAAGGTAAACCTTCCCCATACGCCGAGCTCGAAGTACCTCATCAAAATGCCGCGATTACGGAAGGCGTCCGACATTATATAGTCGTCCGACGTGAACTGACTTAGCGTCAGAAAAACCGACAAAACTCCGACGCCCAACAGAAATCTTCTGACGGCGGCGTGCACCGACTGGGGCGGCGTGCCGGGACTCTGCAATTAAATTTCGGTCACCGTGTGCGTCCGTCGTCGTCGCGCAGTTATACGTACAGGACCAAATTTACCTTCGATAAACTCCTGGTACCTCTTCAACGGGAACTGGGGCCCGACGAGGAAACTCGTCGGGAAGAATACGAAACCCAGAGTTTCGAGGAACTGCGGCATTTCGCGCAGCGCCACCTTTTTCCCGTCGCCCGATAGTGATTCGGGCGGTTTCTGGCCGTCGTATAGGTCGAAGGCGAGTCCTGCACAATTTTAAGGTTAGTTTAAGCTCAATTTAAAGTACGTTGTGTGTGACCCAATAGTTCAGAATGGCTGGTCACCTCGCAGATGGTTGCGTCTTTGACTAATGTCAGATGGACGCGCAAAATTATTGCTTTGTTTAATTTGATAAAATAAATGAAATCTGCAGGTGTGGTCCTTTGTAAAATTTTGGGCGTGTCTGTTTACGTTTAAAAATACGTTTCTCGCGTGTGTTTACGAACCCAATAAATTTCGAGTTTCATGTTAGATTGGGCAAGCCGAGTGGTTTTTGTTCCAAAAATCAGAAAAAAGAAAACGAGCAATAAATATCGAAAATCCAGTATTGACAATCACAAGAATCAAGATCGGCAGATTAACTATCATACATTAAGATCAGGAATTAAGAGTATAGGTCATAGAATAAACCAGAGATCAGAATCTTGGAATTATAAATCAAGGGTTAGAGGGGAATGAGAAAACAGAAGTTAGAGATCACAGATCAGGGATCAAAACTAGAGATTAGTGACATTAAATTAAAGGACCAAAGACCATGGATCAAAAACCAATAATAAAAATCACATAAGTGTCAGAAATCAGATCTGGGATCAAAAATCATAGCATTAAATATTAAATATCGAGGACACGGATCGAGATTTCAAAGTCGTGGACCAGGAATAAAGAATCAAAGATCAGAATTTTTGAATTTTTTTTCTTCGTTTTGAATCAATATAGATTTTTTGTGTTTTTACTATTATATTTTTGGTCAAAAAATTTAATGTTATCTTTTTAAATTAAAATATACAGAATGTTCCATTAAAAAATAACTTTTTTACCCGACCCCGTATACTTTTTTTGAAAACGGCACATTAATAGAATATTAGATACAGAAATATATTCATTGCAACAGTTTCTTTCTGATTGTTGAATAGTCTGCCATTACTGCTAGTATACAGGGTCAGCTAAAAAAGTAACTGGACCTAACTTTATTTTTTGAAATAGAACACCCTGTATATTTTAATTTAAAAGATAGCATATTAGATTCTTTTCAAAAGCACAACACTAAAAAATCAAAAAAATATTGATTCAAAGATTAAAAAAACGATTTTAAAAAAGTTAAAAAAATTCAACAATCTTCTTAAAATTGTATTTTTGTAATTTTTTCATTTTTTAAATTTTTTGTAATTTTTTTAAACACTTGAGTCTTTTTTTAATACCATCTTCAGTGTGTTACACTTTTGAAATTTAATATCCTACTTTATGTTAAACTGTATAGTCTCATTTAAAAAAAATGAGGTTAGGTTCGATTTTCTCGCTTGAGATACAGAGGAAAATTTAACAAATGCCAATTTCAGAATAACCCGCTATACTTCTATAGTTAAAATAGATCTAAAAATGCAAAAGTTTCTTTATTATGATTGTTGAATAATCTGTCGTTTTTAAAATCAGTATACATGGTCAGGTAAAAAAGTAACCCTTCCCTTATTTAGTAGAACACCCTGTATATTTTATATTCGGCTCTTTCGAAAATGTACTACTAAAAAAACTTTTATGTTGGATCATTTAAACCTTTTTTAATTTTTTGACATTTTTACTTTTTTTAATCACTTGAATCTTTTTTTAATAGCATAAATTTTTAAAAGATAATTTAATATCCTATCTTTTGGATTAAAATATATAGAGTGTTCCATTTAAAAAATGAGGATAGGTGCGATTTTTTTACAAGAGGAAAGGTTAGTTGACAATATTCGCACGCTTGAGATACGAAGAAAAATTTCAAAAAATTGTCATTTCAGAATAATCCTTTCCTTAGTTAAAATAGATCCAGAAAATGTTTATTGCAAAATGATTTTTGAATAATCTGCCATTTTCAAAATCAGTACACGGTCACCTAAAAAAGTTTTAGGACCTAACCTCATCTTTTTTAATGGAACAACGTATATATTTTATTATAAAAAATAGTATATTAAATTCTTTTCAAAAATATAACACTAAAAAAAGTTAAAAAATCCAATATTGATTCAAAAATTAAATAATTACAACATTCCACAAAGTTTTTGAAATTTTGGTGTATTATTTTGAATTATGCACCTTTTTTTGAATCGCTTCTATAGTTTTTTTGATTTCTGGTGTGGTACATCCTATCTCTTGGATTAAAATATATAGGGTGTTTCAATAAAAAAAATGAGATTAACTCCGATTTTTCAAATGAGGAAAGGTTATTCCCTCGCTTGATACGGAGGAAAATTAAAAAAATTGCCAATTTGAAAAATTTCCTCTGTTAAAATGTTTATTGTAAAAGTTTCTTTGAAAAAATGACGTTAGGGCCGATTTTTTTTACAAGAAGAATTAGTTGAAAATATTCGATCGCTTGATACAGAGGAAATATTTAAAAAAATGACAGTTTCAGAAGATCCCTATATTTCCGTAGTTATAATAAATCCAGAAAAATGTTTATGCAACAGAAAACAACATTAAAAAAATTCAAAAAATCCAATTCGAATTTTAAAAAATTTAAATCCTTTTGAATCACCTACATCTTTTTTTAAATATCCTGGTTGTGTTATATTTTTGAAAAGATAATTTAATATCCTATTTTTTGGATTAAAATTTAAAAAAAAAATGAGGTTAAGTCGATTATTTTACAAGAGGAAGGGTTAGTTGAAACTATTCGCTGACTTGAGATACGGAGAGAAATTGCCAATTTCAGAAATTTCCTCAGTAAAAATAAATCCAAGAAAATCTTTATTGCAAAAGTTTGTTTTGAAAATAAGTCAGGATCGACTAAAAAAGTTATCGGACTTAAAACTCATTTGTTTTTAATGGAACGCCCTGTATATTTTAATTGAAAAATAGCATATAATCGTTTCAAAAATATAACACTAAATAAATTCAAACAATCCAATACTGATTCACAGATTAACAAGACTTTAGGAAAATTAAAAAATGTTTTTGAAATTTTTGTGAATTTTTTGGAATCATTTGATTTTGAAATCTTTTTTTTACATTTTTTAATTCAGTTTCTTTTTGGAATGTCATACTTGGTGTGTTACATTTTAGATTAAAATATATAGGGTGTTTCATTAAAAAAAACTGCTAGGACTGAAGAGGAAGGATTAGTTGAAAATATTCGTTCGCTTGAGATACGAAGGCAAATTTTAAAAAAATGTCAGTTTCAGAAGACCCCTATATTTCCTTGGTTATCAAAATATCTCTAACCTCATTTTTTTGAACATTCTGTAAATTTTAATCTAGAAAAGATGACATTCTTTTCAAAAAAATAACACTAAAAAATTTAAAAAATCCAATACTGATTCAAGGATTTTAAAAAGATTTTAGAAAAATGTAAATCCTTTTGAATCATCTGAATCTTTTTTTAATATCCCTTTTGAAAAGAGAATTTATATTCTCTCTTTTGGATTAAAATATACAGGGTGTTCTATTAAAAAAAATGAGATTAGCTCCGATTGTTTAACTTAAAGGAAGAGTTAGAGCATGTGTGTTCCGAAACAGCGTTAGCCCAAAGTTATGGTAACTTTATCCAGAACCATATGTCTGACATTTCTACAGTACACAGTCCCATCCCTCCTCTGTCAATGAAGAAAAACGCTAGTTGATTTGTCAAAAAATAGGACAAGAAAAAGCATGTCCCTTTTTTTATTTGTTTGGGGCATAAACAAGCGCTATCGCAAACCACTCCCACTTTCAACTGTTAAAAAACGCGCAATATTTGGTAAACGCTACTTTCGGCAGGTTATTAGAAAACTAGGCGTATCACCTACACAGTTTTATCAAATATTGTCTATAATAATAATAATAGATTTATTGCCCAACAGAACAGACATTCCAATTATAATAGGACAATACATATTTATTAGTTATATATATTATATATCCATACCAATCTGAAGAAAAGAAATTGTACACAAAGAAAACACACCTGCAACTTGCAACATGAAATTATATGTTCCAGTACAGTAATTTATTTTAGCCTTTTTTGTTGTAAATTTGTTGGATAAATAGATCTTTAAGAACTATAATTTTTAATAGAAAGGGAACCATCTGTTATAATGGGGTAGTACAGTATGCATTTAATCTATTTCTTTAATATGCACGCCTACCCCAAGAAAGAAATCTTGAATTGGTTTGTCATTTCATCTCTTTATTTTTTGGATAATTGTTTATTTTTTACTCATGCCATATTTAATTTTGTATTTGTTCTGTAATTGGATGAATTCATCTGTTGAACAATTTAACCTTTGACCCTACCCCAGGAGGTAGAACCCCTGAAGCCCTAAGTCACCCTAAGGTGCTCGGAATACTCGGCATGCAAGTTTGAAATTCAAATGTTGTTCTTTATCTACAAATCAATCAACCACGAGACGAGTCACACACACAACGTACTTTGGATCAAAGCATTCGATTACCTATTAACCGCAGCACGATGATACACTGTGGCATAGTCCAATTAATGTCATAGTCGTTCGTGCCGACGTAATAGTAACCTGGAAAGTGGCAAAACGGTTAAAGAGGCGAAACGGCGAACGCACACGAACCCATTAGTAAGTAAGTCATGTTAAATACGAAGGTGATCACGACCGACAGTGCGGATCTCCTGAAAAGCACGACGGTCGCGTAAGTAACCAGCACAGCCGAGAGTGGATGCAGTATGTCGCGTCCATAATTTAAAAAACCTAACGTTAATCCGCTAAGGAGGAAATACAGATGCTGGTAGTTAGCGTTTCGTCCGTACAAATACGTTCGATGTATTTGGGCGATTGGATAGCCTGGAAGTGTGCAAGTGTTAATTAACAAGCGTAAAACGGGGGGCGAAATTTGAGGTTACCTGCAAGCACGGAGAGTAGTAGCTTTAGTCCGGCCTCGGAGGAGCCCACCAAATTACTTACCCTTTCTAAGACACCGATTTCGACTTCCATTTTTTCTAGAACTTTCTTGTTAATTTTACGCCATGAATTTTCAAACTACAATTTTAGTGTCACTGACAGGTTTCAATTCTACTGCGCATATGGCGTGATTGGCTGTCAGCTGTCATGTAACTTGACAGTGACGTAGAGTTTTTACCTCCAGTGGCGTACCGACCATGCAAAGCCAACAATTGAGGATCCTTAATTTCTTATTTATAGTAGGATTTTCCACTAGAAGTGGGAGAGCTAGTGATTAGAGGACAGTCTGAAGATACATTGGCTTTTTTTTCAAGGACATTCGCCTTTCGGATTGTACCAACCTGGAAAACAAAAAATAACTAAAGCCGGGCTGAAGTTACATTCGTATTTTTTTTAATAAACGGTCTCTGAAAGTGACGGCAGAGGTACCTATTTTCATCCCCTGTCACAGTGGCTTTTGAAAAATATATAACTCGAAAAACTCGCCCTCGAAATTGGCGCGACTCCATATACGTAGGGTGTAAATCAAAATTGAGAGAGGGTTTTCTACGGAGGATTATACAAGCGTGATAGCACAAGGACCCTTTTTTTAACCGCCGGGAAGAAAAATTCGTCTTTTTTTGGTCATTGGCATTGGCCATTGACAAAAAAGCGAATTTTTCGAACTGTGGGTCACTTTTCGAAAAATGACATATAGGGGGTTGTAGATGGGCCCTTGGGCCACCACAACGTCCTAATCCTCCGCGTGCAAAACCCCCTCAATTTTTATAAATTAATTTTGAATTGTAACTTGCTTTATTCGTATGCCGCGCCATTGACAAAAAAAGCGAATTTCTCGAACTGTGGGACAGTCTTCGAAAAACGACATATACAGGGTTGTAGATGAGCCCTTGGGCCACCACAACGCCCTAATCCTCCGCGTGCAAAACCCCCTCAATTTTTATAAATTAATTTTGAATTGCAACTTGCATTATTCGTATGCCGCGCCATTGACAAAAAAGCGAATTTTTTGAACTGTGGGGCGCTTTTTTTCGTGTTTTAGGGCTCTCTTCCATAGACCACTGACAGGGGATGAAAATAGGTCCCTGTGCCGTCACTTTCAGATGCAGTTTATTAAAAAAAAATACGAATGTACCTTCACCCCGTTTTTAGTTTATTTCTTGTTTTCCATTTAGGTTGGTACTATCCCAAAAGCCGAATGTCCTTGAAAAAAAGCGAATGTAACTTCAGGCTAGTCAAACTATGCTGCAATGGAATTTGTTGTAACCGGGGTTCCACTGCTCCTATCCGGTGCAGTTGCGTTTAAGGTGGTAAAACAATTTATTAAGCACATTGTAGGCAAGGTTGCCATAGGGTAAGGAACATAAATTGTGATATAAATAGCATGTAAACGCTAACAATAAATATGATCAGTTCAGCATCAGGTTTGAGTGATAAGAAAATCCCGGACCGGTGTGTAAGTTTGCTTGGGCGAACATTAGGACTTACAACCCTAACGCCACACCAGCAATTCCACCTTTAATGAATCGTTTGGAAACAATAAAACCATGTTTCCAGAATGCAAAACCACATGTTGGCGTCCAGTCGCGCATTGCATATTTTTACATACGCATCTAAAAAATGGGCTCTTGATGGTGCAATAGTGGGTAACTCCATTAAACCTTTTCTTGGATTATCTTTAACGGAAACCAATATTCCCTTTTCTTAAGGAACTCTGGGACCCATTAAATACGTCTTCGTCCCTTGCAAACGATGTTCTAAAATACAAACGTAAACTGCTTATAATATCGAAACAAATATTAATATAACACAGTTGACATAAACTCAATCATTCATAGTGTGTTGGATCATGTGAAACCATCAACATCGCTTAACGGGTTTCTTACATTGCCTTGCTATTTAGGACAGTGTGACATAGAAATCACTGTTCGCAGGCTAGTATTTAATGCATCCGCAACTCTCTGAAATGAAACTTGTTACGTATACGAATTCTTTTATTAGTAAAGTATCCACTGACCTCTGTTACTGCTGCGACTGGTAAAAGTGTACCACAATTATCTCTTTCTCGTTCAAAATAATGAATAAGATAGAAATAAGATGCTTACTTTTTCTTGGTGAATCCGATGGCATGGAAGTAATTGTTCGTTATTAAACTAACGGATTTTTTTATCGGCTAACACGCGATAAAATAGGTTAGTTAGGGGTTTTCATTGTATGGTTAGTTAGTTAAAGGAAAAGTGTGAGAATTTTCCGCTCAATCATGTAATGTATGTTACCGTTTTCCTGGGTTTCCCTCAACATACGCGTAGAGATTAGATGTTAAATGTTATTGTCAATTTATTGCTGCTTTTATTGTTTCATAAAACTTGCTGATAGCGCTTAACCAAACTAAAAATGGCAATAAAACATTTAATAATTGTATAAATGATAACAGTACTTGCAAAGGAAATTACATCTATTTATGTATATCGGAAATGTGACGTTTTACATACAATAAATATTCAATTACTTAAAAAAAATGTACCTCCTCTTAGCTATCTACGATTTGCACCTAACCAACAATAGATCTCCTAGTAAAATTAGCACACCGAAGCTAACCGAATTCAGAATTTTATTATTGCAAAACGAGTCCTATTTTGTTCGCCTGCATGCTCGGACATTTCCAATTGTACAAGTAATATTGCAAATTGCCGTCGCCGATTCCGAACTTCAGCGTCTCCAGGAACTCCTTGTTGTCCATTAGGTCGAGCGCGTTGAAGACGTCGAATTCGAGCTGCTTCGCCGAGATGAGACCGTCGTTCATCAGATCGACCCACGGCGTCTTCGCGGAGACGTTGTAGAACGAGTAGGCGGCCTTCAGGGTCTTGTGCACGGGATGGTGCATGACGGTCGACGGCAGGGTGTAGTAGCTGACGAAGTCGGTGACGACGCCGCCGTTCTCGACGATGAAGCTGTCGACGATGCCGGCCTGCGGCAGGAACCAGTGCACGAAGTCCTCCTGGGAGAAGTGGGGCGCGAGGTCGAAACGCTTCAGATACTGTCAAAAATTTTTAGTGAGCGCTCAGCGTACACTTTCGTCAGAAGCGGGCGCGTGAAAAACACAGACACGGTGATATAAGTGGGCCGTAAGCAATGAAGAGGCGAGGCGGAGCAGACATGTGATTATCATCGCGCTTTTGTAATGAACTCAGAATTCCGACGTTAGGCCATCATTGCCTCAATGTTGAATTCGGAATTACGATTGTGACCTCAAAATGTCAAATTTACTTACTGTAAAAACTAACACAATAGTTCTTCAGGCTGAGTGTTTTGTGGGGGAGTGCACCACCGGGAGGTCTGGGGGGTATGGAATACTCCCCAGTCTACCAAGCCCCTATAATAGTTACAGGGAAGAGAACATTGAATCCAGAACTCTCCATGGAAGAACGTTTTAATGATCTTTCTTCTACAACTGCCACAAGATCTTCGTATACTGAGGGGTAACCCCCCCCCCCGGTTATACCCTTCCCCCAAAACGTATATGGCACACACCATATAAACTGTAATTTTTGGAAAGAGACCATAACAGCTAACACCAGAAGCAGGTGGCATATGGAATATTCATTGGGAAAAATGCTTCTATAGTCCCATATGCAAAACTACCACAATAGTTCTTCGGGTTGACTGTTTTGTGAGGGACCATAGCACCAGCGGTCTGGAAATCCCCCCAGTATAGAAGAAGAAGGTATAGTTATAGGGAAAAGAACACTGAATCGATTCCTCCCACAGAAGGATGTTTTATTGTTTCCTCTACAACTCTCACAATATCTTCGTTTATTTTTTACTTGGAAATTTTAACTCTGAATTGGATATTCTAGGGTGTAGACTTCAAGAGAATTTGGAATTTCCACTTTTTGAAGAGCAGATTTGACATCGTTAGCAATATGTCAACGAGAGAAAGCATTTTCGGTGGTAGAAGGAAGCGAAATTTAATGCAGGGAAGTCCATCGTATGTACTGTCAGAAGGAAAACTTCGCTTTAAATTACGTAGGTGAGAATCTTCATCAGACTCCATTACTTCCTGCAGGAACACGTACCTAATTTTAATATTTTTTTTAATCAGAACCAGGTCACTAATTTCAATGATTATTTTGGTCAATTTGGGACATCCTGTATAAAAAAATCTAAGCTAACTGTCATGAATTCAGCACGAAATGACATGAGTGATAGAATGCGACAACTTCACTTACATCCTGCAGGACTTTGTGAGTTTTTGGAACGTCTCCCAAGGTCATCTTCCTAAATCCGGGCGTCTTTGGTTGATCAGGTAACTTATACAGCTTCAACGTCCTCTGCATGGTCATATTCCGCGACAGATGCGAGAATTTGACGTCGATTAACTTCTTTGGATTTAACGACCGATGCCAGTACCTGCACGTTCCGATCGGCTTTGGCAAAACGACACCCGCCGTATACACAGCCTGGAAAATACCCGTCAGATGCACCCGCCTCGTAATCTCCCTAATTAAAACGGGCGCGACCCTCTTCGACCTCAACTTCTTGTGCACGCACAAAAAGTTAATTTCTACCATCCTCTGCTGCCTACAACAAACCGGTTAACGCTCAACCGTAACGGGGCGAATCCACTTGCTTGTCGTAAATGTTTAGTGTCGCCGGAATCGCCGAAATGAAACCGACGAGACGGCCGCTCTTTATCACCCTCACCCCGCAGTGCCAGTCTTTTCGCCAACCGGGCGGCTGAAGCGCCCTAAAACGACCCAAGTTAACTACGACCGAACGCTTAGAGCGACGCACCATTTTAGGAAATCCGGCTGGTAGTCGAACCTAAACATGCAGTCGTCGTCCTCGACGTAATTCTCGTTTAGTAAAGTGTAGAGCTCCTTCAGAACCAGCGGCTCATCCAAATTCAAAGTGTCCCACTGAAAACCGTCCGGCAGAGTGTACGGTTCGTTTCGTATCTCCGCCACTTCTTTGTCGGCCTCGATCGCTTCGTTCGCCGTAATTTTCTCGTCTAGAAGGTGCAGATTACGACTACGTTAAAGGCCGAGCGCCTAACTTACCCATTTTAGGCACCGGTTGCGTGCTCCAAAACTGGTACGACTTGTGTAGCGCCTCCTCCTGCGTTTTCGCAGGTTTCTCTTGAAGGGAGAATGCCTCGACGGCCGCACGTAGATCTTTTATGGTCATCATGTTCCCGAGACGATTTAGGTCGGTGCCGCTCACGAATTCCTCGACCGGCGTTATCTCTTCCTTTTCCTCACGATTTTCGGCATTGGCCTTTTTCCCCTTGTGTCTCTTTTTAACCCTGGAAGTAAAATGAAGGTGAAACTTTGACGAGTGCAATACGCGAAGAAATGTGCAGTACCCTTTAGATTGAATATTTGAATCCAAATTTCCATTTTTTTGAGATTTATTTGATAAATCATTCTTTCCTGACATTATTGACAATTTAATGATTAGGGACTTTCATTTCCGTGATGTTGGTGACATTGCGTTGCCACCCACTGATGAAAAGGTACTAAAGTAAAGGCTGGTTTCCACTAATGCGAGGTTTACACCTTTTTTTCATTATAAATTGCTTAATTAGAACAACCCCCCCTTCAACCTCTCAAGGGAATCAGGTCCGTAGATAGCGGGTGGCCAGGGCCTCACCTAGAACGTGTTCTTGCCCCCACTGGAAGTAACAGTTGATGGTCCTTTTACAAAAATGACAAGGGAAGTCTTTATCAAAAACTTCTTGGGGGGGGGGGGGTTCGTAGTTGAACTTGCAGGGACGAAGCCGAAAGCGACGCTGATGGCGAGTGGATGGAAACATTCCCAGTCGTCGCCGTTGGAGGAGTAAAAGTCCCCGTCCGGGATCTGAAACACCTCTTCGCACATTATATTCTCCTGATACAAAATTTGTAAATATTTAAAACGTAATTTGCCTTCGAAATACGTTTGTGGATGATGGAAGAAGACCTCCTCAACCATTATGTTCTGCTGGTAGCACGACAACATTTTACAAGAATTTTCTGAGTGACAGTCCGTGTGTTAGGAGCTGAAACACCTCCTCGCACATTATATTCTCCTGATACAAAATTTGTAAAGATTTAAAACGAAATTTGCCTTTCGAAATACGTTTGTGGGTGATGGAAAAGACCCCCTCACCCATCACATTCTCCTGGTAGCCAGACAAAATTTTACGAGAATTTTCTGAGGGACAGTCCGGGTATTATTAAGATCTGAAAAACCTCCTCGCACATTATATTCTCCTGATACAAAATTTGTAAAGATTTAAAACGAAATTTGCCTTTCGAAATACGTTTGTGGGTGATGGAAAAAGACCTCCTCAACCATTATGTTCTCCTGGTAGCACGACAACATTTTACAAGAATTTTCTGAGTGACAGTCCGTGTGTTAGGAGCTGAAACACCTCCTCGCACAATATATTCTCCTGATATATAATTTGTAAAGATTTAAAACAAAATTTGCCTTTCGAAATACGTTTGTGGGTGATAGAAAAAGACCTCCTCAACCATCATGTGCTCCAGGCAGCCAGACAAAATTTTCTGAGTGACGGTCCGTGTGTTAGGAGCTGAAACAACTCCTCGCACATGATATTCTCCTGATCCAAAATTTGTAAAGATTTAAAACAAAATTTGCCTTTCGAAATACGTTTGTGGGTGATGGAAAAAGACCTCCTCAACCATCATGTTCTCCTGGTAGCCATACAAAATTTTGCCAGAATTTTTTGAGTGACAGTCCGGGTATTATTAAAATCTGAAACACCTCCTCGCACATTATATTCTCCTGATACAAAATTTGTAAAGATTTAAAACGAAATTTTAATTCGAAATACATTTGTGAGTGATGGAAAAAGATGTCCTCCACCATCATGTTCTCCTGGAAGGCAGACAAAATTTTACAAGAATTTTCTGTGCGACAGTCCGGGTATTATTAAGATCTGAAACACCTTTTCGCACATTATGTTCTACTGATACAAAATTTGTAAAGATTTAAAACGAAATTTGGCTTTTGAAGTATGTTTGTGGGTGATGAGAAAAGGCCTCCTCAACCATGATCTTCTCCCGGTAGCCATACAAAATTTTACGAAAGTTTTCTGAGTGACAGTCCTTTGCCTTCGAAATACGTTTGTGGTTGATGGAAAAAGACCTCCTCAACCATCATGTTCTCCTGGTAGCACGACAACATTTTACAAGAATTTTCTGACAGTCCGTGTGTTAGGAGCTGAAACACCTCCTCGCACATTATATTCTCCTGATACAAAATTTGTAAAAATTTAAAACAAAATTTGCCTTTCGATATACGTTTGTGGATGATGGGAAAAGGTCTTAAGTTGTTCTATACTACTCCGGCATTTACCTTACGAATTAGGAAAACTGCAAGAAAACGTAATTCGGAGTAGCCGGCAGAATGCTAGAAATTGGTCTAAGGTAATTTCCATCTCTGCCACAGATGAAAAATTCACTTCAACCCAGGTTCGAACTCCCGACCTCCGGATTTATAAGGTCTATAACTTTTGATTGAGAAGTCTAATCGAAAAAGTACGAATTGTTTTGGATTCTTTGCCCCAAAATTAATAACAAAAAGTGTTTTCCTGAGAAATTTTGGTGTAGTCGATTTTTGGTAAAAAAGGAAGGTTATACACTGCCTTTTTTTGAGGCGCGAAAAAAAAATTGTCTCAGATCGACCGGAAAAAAATTTCTTATGGAATGTGGCCTGTAGAATGCATAATTTCAAACTGTGAACTTTGAATTTTCTTTCGAAATTGGTTTCTAGTCTATAACTTTTGATTGTGAAGTCTAATCGAAAAAGTACGAATTGTTTTGGATTCTACGCCCCAAAATTAATAAGAAAAAGTGTTTTCCCGAGAAATTTTGGTGGAGTCAATTTTTGGTAAAAAAGGAAGGTATAACACTGCCTTTTCTTGACCCGACAAAATTGTCTCAGATCGACCGGAAAAAAATGCCCACGCGCACGGTGCCACTGCCAACGAGTAAGGCGACTTAATCCAACGGAGTGGCACCCAGTCCTCCAGGGTTGGGGCTGGCAGTTCAACCGCACATCTCCTTGGTCCGGCTCTCTGACCCTTAGAATTGAGGTTATTTCTTGGTTGAGCTTGTCTCCCCTTGGTGCGGGGGGTAGAACCGAGAACCCCAAGCACCATCCTGAGCGCCCCCGGTTCGTGCATCGAACACCTGTCGACTGTAACGAAGCATCCGTTTTCCGCCCCGAAGTTATGATCGCACCGTACATTTGTGAAGTCGTCCAGCTTTGATGATCACCTGGTATCGAGCAGCGTTAAGGCTAAGTACGTAAGTTTTGTAATGAATTTATCAGTTTTTTCCAACCCTTCCGATATGAATAATTAAATTATTCATACAACCGCCGAATGCTCTCTTGCCAGGGAAGAAGGGAGTCAATTAATATTTTGACAGTTCAGCGCCGTTAATTAATTATTAAGCATTTCAGATTCCCATAATAAGCGAAAACCGGAATAAAAACGAGTTCCACATCGAGTATTTACACGTTATCAGTCTTGCAGATATGTCGGTGTAGATAGCGACAACAGTCGTTGCGCCGGAAAATTCCAATTAAGCATAGGTATTAATTGGATTGATGAGTATTAAAGTTGGATCGCGTTTGTAAGCATGATTAATGAATGATGTTATAAATATTTGTGGAAGAAACCAGCAGATGGCGTCCAAAGTTCAAAATGATCGTGCTTAAAACCGCCGCTATTTTCTGGATCCGACTGAGACCGTTCCCCTACGCGCCACCTGGACACGCGCCTGATAGGCTTTGAAACCAATATCACAGGCTACGCTCAAGAACTATTAGATGGCGCGGTAACACCTTCAGATTCCATGTCTCCTATAATCTTTTCCGCTTCCTCCTGGCGAATGGGGTGTGCATTCTCGATGTTGCACCCACGTGTAGTTATCCGAATTCCTCCGAGAACGAGTCCTTTCCTTAAGGTTCCCGGATAAAAGTCCACATTTATTATTTTGCACCGGAATATTTCTTCTAATTAAAATTCCTCGACCCAATTTTAAATCATAACTACCGCAAACGGAAGACGAAAACTGCCTTCACTCTATGCGCCGATCCAATCGTGCCATGACAAGGTTTCAGTTCGATCTGCTAGCGTAGTGTCCTCGTTTAAAAGAGAGTGACTTCTGAAGCCTTTACATAGCAAGTCGATGTATGCCCCCTTTCATCGACCTTTTTCAGTTTTCCTGCCGGTCTCCCATGAGACTTTCGACATGTTTTGTGGAAATGCCCATTTTCTTCGCAATTCCAACAACGGATCTGTTTCTTTATGATCGCAGCCTTGATAGCTTGAACTAACGCCATCAACAATTTGTCTTCCTTCTCTACAACTCTAACGCTACTGGATGGATCTTATAGGGTAAGAAAAAGCGAACTGTCCAGGTTAGTCCATTTATTTAAAAAGAAAGCCTGTGTACAATAACTTGTCGCTACGTTAGTTTCATTTTCAGATGGAGTTTGCATTACCTACTAACACCTTTTTACGTGGAGACTACTTTGGGAAGATCTGATTTACTGGAAATTTGGAGAAGAAAGCGTTCGCTTCGTTCTTGTAAATTTCTGCGTAAATCTTCGTATACTTCGGCTTCGTTTCCTTAATCATATCCCTCCATTTTTCGTTGAACAGTTTGGCCATCTTCTTTCCCACCTCCGGGTCATCGGAGTCGATTTTGAATTTCATATCGTCAACACCGAGCGATTCGACGTCGACTTTGGTGTATTGGAATGGTTTCGGCCCAATCTTTCTTGATGATACGTTCGCGGTGAAGTTGTTTCGGGAATTCGGTAATTAACTGAAAGGTGAAGACATGACTCGGGGGGCTAAAAATTCGGTGGGGTTATTACTGCCCTCATTAGAGCGTGCTCGACTTGCCCTTGCTGCTGTTAATCCACTCCATCGAAATTGCGTTCGTTTTCGTAGACGTAGTCGCTTGGAAGCGACCTCGTCACATAATCAGGTCAATGCTGAGGAAGAAGTCGGTGTCGTCAACAGTTATGCTGAAAACCTCCTTTAGCTTGTAATTTGACAATGGATAATCGTGGAGCTTACCTCAGGGAGATCTCTTAACCTTTCCTTGGGTGTGACCAGTGTGAATTGTTCCGATGTTGGTGTAAGTTTGTGGAAACGTCCAGGAGCCCTCGGCGATGACATCCCACTTATACCATCTTCAATCGGATCGATCAGTTGGAATGGTTATTAAGTCGGAACACCTACAGGTTCGCAGGTGAGAGTAAGCGTACCTTATCAGATCACTTACCTGCACCCAGCAAGGCCAATCCCTTGGGAATCGCGTCCTTAAGGCATTCTTTAAATTTGGGATCCGATTGCGAGCACAATTTGAGCTTGCCTGTAACGAAATTGACGTTATTTCAGCTTGGTGCAAGTTCTTCTGGCACTCACTGAGTATTTGAGCGTTAACCCACGCCGCGCCTAACAGCACCAACACTAGAACACTCCTGTAGTACATCATTTTGTACAATACAAATTGCTTTCAGAGCTTCGGTTTTATATATCCATCTCGAGCTTGTTTTTTTCGCACAATCACTGGTGAAGTTAATGACAGATTGTGTTCAGTCTCTTATAACGTGTCGAAATTTTTCTGTGAAAGATCTAACTAAATACATTTATGATTATTCAAAAGCCTGAATTGAAATGTTATTCTAATATACACAGCCGTAATAAATTAAGATCCTAAGATAAGAAATTATTTTTTTCGGGGAAATACTAAGAAAACCTTCATCTTTGAACAGACTATTAAATTGCACATAACATCAAATCCCTCTAAATATCTTGGTTTGGTGGTTCTTCCACCCACATGCTTCCTTGTGGACAAGTTAACCTTCCAACTTCTGGGCCTTTGACTTACTTGCTCATCATCGTCCACACATCATCCTCTTGGGTCCCTGCACCACATCCGATGATAACTTCACCGTCTGCTCTTTTCTGGATTTGTCCCGCACGCACATTTTACAGTTTTCAGAAACCTTGTGCATGTGCTCTTTCTAATGCAAAACCTTTGGTGAGTTACCGGTCGACACCCCCAGAATCCCATCGCAAATTCAAAAGTCCCCACACTTTCGTTTCACTTTGGGGTAAGCCATTTTAAAGCTACCTACGAATTTGCTTTTCTAATGCCGACCTTCTCTATGAATTTAGGGGTTGACTTCGCCTCGGAAATCCCATTGCAAGTTGCCATTTTTTTGCGTTGGGGTAGGCCATTTTAAGGCTAACGCATCGATTTCCACGAATGTTCTTCAAAACCACCTCAACAGAGAAAAAGGCCTTTAACTGTTTAACTGATGTTTCTACAACGCAACAACATAATGACACAAACAACACGAGGAATCTCTACCCTACACAGAAACCTCTATAGGTACTACGCCATTTTGTTTGGTTTCAAAGTTTGTGGTTGGCGTTGAGGGTGGAAATTGGTTGGAGTTCGGAATTATTTAGTCACAATTTCTTATAGAATGTGCCCTGTAGAATCCATAATTTCAAACAGTTTCAAGATTGGGCTACTAGTTCAAAAGTTACAGCCCTTTGAATTTTTTTCCGAAATTGGTTTCTAGTCTATAACTTTTGATTGAGAAGTCTAATCGAAAAAGTACGAATTGTTTTGGATTCTACGCCCCAAAATTAATAAGAAACAGTGTTTTCCCGTGAAATTTTGGTGTAGTCGATTTTTGGTAAAAAAGGAAGATTATACTCTGCCTTTTTTTCAGGCCCGAAGAAAAAATTGTCTCAGATCGACCGGAAAAAAACATTTCTTATAGAATGTGCCCTGTAGAATCCATAATTTCAAACAGTTCCAAGATTGGGCTACTAGTTCAAAAGTTACAGCCCTTTGAATTTTCTTTCGAAATTGGTTTCTATATAACTCAACGCTCTACCATTGAGCCATAATGCCGGTGCATAATGCATGTGTTCTTGGTAGCCATACAAAATTTTACGAGAATATTCTGAGTGACTAGGAGCTGAAACACCTCCTCGCACATTATATTCTCCTGATACAAATTCGTAAAAAATTGAAACGAAATTTGGCTTTGAAATATGTTTGAAGGCGATGGGAAACCTCCTCCTGAAAGCACCATCCACCAACTGGTGGAAGTGAGTGCGTGGACTATTTAGGAGTATCACATATGGGGCATTTCATTTTTTGTTTTTGTGCACTATGAAGTTTCATTTAATTATGTCTAATTCACTAATTGAGTGAAATATGGTAATTCGCTAAAGCTTTTTCGCGATCCCTTTCAAAGCAAATTGCACATATCCTTTTAAGTGAGTGTCTCTGTATCGTTGATGTACTTGCGAAATTGGTGTATTAATAAGTTCATAAGTAGTGTCATGCTTACACCATTCTTAAAGTGTGGGAAAAGTGTAAAAATCCATAGATAAATCAAGGCTGTCAGTTGTTGACTAGTTTAAAAATGTAGTCACAAAATTACAAGTGCAAATTACACTCACCGTTATCTCAAAAGGTGTTTTTTCACATAAAATTTTTTCGGTAGATTTCCAGGACAAGTGATGGGAAAATCCATCATAAACTATTCGCGACCATCACAACATTAACCATTACCACACTCAATCCAATTTCCTATGAAGATGTCTGAGCCTAGAAAATGACCACCCTGGGAATTTCGTTTAGGTACTTTACGACAGCCCTCACCTTTCAAGTTTCTACGGACTGACTCTTCCTAAAAGTTCTATTAAAATAAAAAATTTGCATGTGTGTGACATTGCATTACCATTAATAGCTACGTTCCCAAACCTTTTTAGAATTTGACATGTTTACCTATAAAAAGCACATAAACAAGTTAATGTATTTTAAAACGCAAGCGTCACTCGCAATTTCGCAAACGAAAAATAAAATTGGGCAATAAATTTTTGAATTCTTTGTCATGCACATCATTTTGTAACCAACCCTGCTGTAGGTACAAATTAAAATCAATTATTCCGACTGATTCACATTTTTTTCAATATATCTTGCGATCTCTCCTCGAGTGCTGAGAGACTTCATCTATTAATTTTTTCAAAGCTGAGTGACCGCCCTCTTAGATGATTTTTAAAGGACTCAATGACTTTATCTTCACTAATGCAAAACTATATCTCCATTCAAAAATATTGAATCGCCGCCATCTTGACGCCTCAAGTAATTAACACATCGAAAATGACTAGTTGGAAATGACACATATTTAGTTGACCTCAATCAACCATATAAATGCTTTACATCATCACGACCAAAATTTGTTTGGAAAGAACCCTAACATTTTTCAGCTTAAAAAATTCTACTTTACTTTTTAACGAGCGACCCAGAGCTCGTTCATGATTTAGGACTTTCTGTCGGTCCGTCTGTCTGTGTACATAACTCACGAACGGTTTCGGCTTTTGCGGTGGAGGCACACATGGGGCGCGTCTCCGGGTGGCGGATAGGGGGACGCCCATACAGGCACCTGAATGATGCTTTCTACTACGAATTAGGTTTTGCAGTTTTCCTAATTCGTAGGGTAAATACCGGAGTAGTATAGAACAACTTAAGACCTTCTGCAGGGGTACCTCTAAAAAGCATTGGGGCACTAAATAAATAAATAAATAAATAAATAAATAAATAAATAAATAAATAAATAAATAAATAAATAAATAAATAAATAAATAAATAAATAAATAAATAAATAAATAAATAAATAAATAAATAAATAAATAAATAAATAAATAAATAAATAAATAAATAAATAAATAAATAAATAAATAAATAAATAAATGTGCAGGACCGGACGGGATATTAACGGCTCTTCTGCAGAAGGCTCTGGAACCTCCGCTCTTGCATTTGTTGCACATTTTTAGAGCCTCCCTGGCTTTAGGGTATATCCCCGAAAGCTGAACAAAGGTAAGAATTTATTGTGTTCCTACCTAAGCCGGGTCGTGCCAAGTATGACATGGCGAAGGATTACAGACCCATCGGCCTTTCATCGTTTCTTCTAAAAGCGATGGAGAAGCTGGTGGATCACCGATGTCCTTCTAGGATGATGGATGGTCAATTATCATCACCTGCACAACATTGGGCTTGCAGGGGAGCCTCGACTCGACTTGACGTTCACTTTTACCGCGTCGTAAAATCTTTAAGTACTCTCTAGCTTTGTTCTACACAACTTTACAATTAATCAAGACAGGCTGTCTTTACTAATACGTCAATACCAAAACAAACGGCCACGTTTCAACGTCCACCACCAAAAAAGCTTGACCGAAAAGTTTCAATTAACGTCTTCCTCTCCTATTTAAAACAGTTTCCCTTAGTCGTTTCGGTTTCTCCTTCCTTAAGAAAATACTGCACCTTTGAAAAACTTTGGCGATAACACATGCTTGTCTTGAAACTAGTGAGCGATAACGCAAACGATAAGTGACTGAATAATTCCGAACTCCAACCAACGCTCAACTCCAACCACAAACGTTGAAACCAAACAAAATCGCGTATTACTTATAGAGGTTTCTGTGTAGGGTAGAGATTTCTCGTGTTGTTTGTGTCATTATGTTGTTGCGTTGTAGAAACATCAGTTAAACAGTTAAAGGCTTTTTTTCTGTTGAGGTGGTTTTGAAGAACATTCGTGGGAATCGGTGCGTCAGCCTTAAAATGGCCTACCCCAACGCAAAAAGTGGCAACTTTCAATGGGATTTCCGGGGCGAAGTCAACCCCTAAATTCATAGAGAAGGTCGGCATTAGAAAAGCAAATTCGTGGGTAGCTTTAAAATGGCTTACCCCAAAGCGAAACGAGAGTGTGGGGACTTTTGAATTTGCGATGGGATTCTGGGGGTGTCGACCGGTAAATCACCAAAGGTTTTGCATTAGAAAGAGCACATGCACGAAGTTTCTGAAAACTGTAAAATGTGCGTGCGGGACAAATCCAGAAAAAAGCAGACGGTGAAGTTATCGGATGTGGTGCAGGGGCCCAAGAGGATGATGTGTGGACGATGATGAGCAAGTAAGTCAAAGGCCCAGAAGTTGGAAGGTTAACTTGTCCACAAGGAAGTATGTGGGTGGAAGAACCACCAAACCAAGATATTTAGAGGGATTTGATGTTATGTGCAATTTAATAGTCTGTTCAAAGATGAAGGTTTTCTTAGTAAGTATTTCCCCGAATAAAATAATTTCTTATCTTAGGATCTTAATTTATTAAAGCTGTGTATATTACAATAACAATTCAATTCAGGCTTTTGAATAATCATAAATGTGTTTAGTTAGATCTTTCAAAGAAAAATTTCGACACGTTATGAGAGACTGAACACAATCTGTCATTAACATCACCAGTGATTGTGCGAAAAAAACAAGCTCGAGATGGATATATAAAACCGAAGCTCTGAAAGCAATTTGTATTGTACGAAATGATGCACTACAGGAGTGTTCTAGTGTTGGTGCTGTTAGGCGCGGCGTGGGTTAACGCTCAAATACTCAGTGAGTGCCAGAAGAACTTGCACCAAGCTGAAATAACGTCAATTTCGTTACAGGCAAGCTCACATTGTGCTCGCAATCGGATCCCAAATTTAAAGAATGTCTTAAGGACGCGATTCCAAAGGGATTGGCCTTGCTGGGTGCAGGTAAGTGATCTGATAAGGTACGCTTACTCTCACCTGCGAACTGTAGGTGTTCCCGAACTTAACATTCCACCGATCGATCCGATGAAGATGGATAAGTGGGATGTCATCGCCGAGGGCTCTCTGACGTTTCCACAAACTTACACCAACATCGACATCCATGGTCACACCAAGGGAAAGGTTAAAGATCTCGAGTAAGCTCTACGATCTCCATTGTCATTACAAGCTAAACGGAGGTTTTCAGCATAACTTTGACCGACACCGACTTCTTCCTCAGCATTGACCTGATATGTGACGAGGTCGACTTCCAAGCCGACTACGTCTACGAAAACGCAATTCTCGATGGAGTGGATTACAGCAGCAAGGGCAAGTCGAGCACCATGGCATGTAAGTAACCCCACCGAATTTTAGCCCCCCGAGTCATCTTCACCTTTCAGTTAATTACGATTCCCGAAACAACTTCACCGGAACGATCATCAAGAAAGATGGCGAAGACTACATTTCCATCACCAAAGTCGACGTCGAATCTCTCGGTGTTGAAGATATGAAATTCAAAATCGACTCCGATGACCCGGAGGTGGGAAAGAAGATGGCCAAACTGTTCAACGAAAAATGGAGGGATATGATTAAGGAAACGAAGCCGAAGTATACGAAGATTTACGCAGAAATTTACAAGAACGAGGCGAACGCTTTCTTCTCCAAATTTCCAGTAAATCAGATCTTCCCAAAGTAGTCTCCACGTAAAAAGGTATTAGCAGGTAATGCAAACTCCATCTGAAAATGGAACTAACGTAGCGACAGGTTATTGTACACAGGCTTTTTTTTTTAAATAAATGAACTAACCTGGACATTTCGCTTTTTCTTACCCTATAAGATCCATCTAGTAGCGTTAGAGTTGTAGAGAAGGCAGACAAATTTTTGATGGCGTTAGTTCAAGCTATCAAGGCTGCGATGACAAATAAACAGATTAGTTGTTGGAATTGCGAAGAAAATGGGCATTTCCACAAACCATGTCGAAAAGCTCATGGAGAAAAAAAACTGAAACCTTGTCATGGCACGATTGGACGGCGCATAGAGTCAAGGCAGTATTTCGTCGTCCGTTTGCGGTAGTTACGATTTAAAATTGGGTCGAGGAATTTTAATTAGAAGAAATATTCCGGTGCAAAATAATAAATGTGAACTTTTATCCGGGAACCTTAAGGAAAAGACCCGTTCTCGGAGGAATTCGGATAACGACACGTGGGTGCACCATCGAGAATGCACACCCCATTCGCCAGGAGGAAGCGGAAAAGATTATAGGAGACACGGAATCTGAAGGTGTTACCGCGCTATCTAATAGTATAATAGTATCTAATAGTTTTGAACTTTGGACGCCATCTACCGGTTTCTTCCACAACATCATTCATTAATCATGCTTACAGGCGCGATCCAACTTTAATACTCATCAATCCAATTAATACCTATGCTTAATTGGAATTTTCCGGCGCAACGACTGTTGTCGCTCTCTACACCGGCATATCTGCAAGACTGATAACGTGTAAATACTCGATGTGGAACTCGTTTTTATCCCGGTTTTCGCTTATTATGGGAATCTGAAATGCTTAATAATTAATTAATGGCGCTGAAATGTCAAAATATTAATTGACTCCCTTCTTCCCTGGCGAGAGAGCATTCGGCGGTTGTAAGAACAATTTAATTATTCATATCGGAAGGGTTGGAAAATACTGATAAATTCATTACAAAACTTACGTACTTAGCATTACCGCTGCTCGATACCAGGTGATCAGCAAAGCTGGACGGCTTCACAAATGTACGGTGCGATTATAACTTCGGGGCGGAAAACGGGTGCTTCGTTACAGTCGACAGGTGTTCGATGCACGATGATTAATTCCGAAAAATGATTTTAAAGTCTCGGCAGGGCACTTCGATTATGGTTTCTGGAAATGGCAATGGAACTATCGTCTACTGGGGGGTGTTCCATACTCCCCAGACGCCCCGGTTAAACAATGTTTCACAATCCGTTTAGATTGCAGGACTCTCTTGACAGTTGTTGGGGAAGGATTATGAGACCCTCTTCTCCATACGTACTGTAGATAATGTAGAACCGGGGGGTCTGGGGGGTATGTTCAAGTCGATGCAAGAGAGTGCGCACGCGCTCTCTCCATGTGATAAAAGCGAACAGAAATATTCATTACATTAATTTTAAATGAGCGGTAGTCTTGACTTAATTTTTCAGGCAACCCATTTGCGATGTGTTGGTTACATATTAAGATTGTTAAAAACAGATGGGCGAAGATGGGACTATTATCATTTATTGCTGTATGAGAATTTCGAGGTAAACCAAACGCAAACATTTTTGCTTACAAGAAAGGAATGTACTTGGATAGACTTTGGCTAAGAATAATCGAAATGTCTAGGTTAGTTCATTTATTTAAGAAAAGTTATGTACAATAACGCTATGTTAGTCTTATTTGAAAAATTACTACTAATTTTTTGTGTGGAAGGCCTATTTTGGGAATATTTGATTTACTGGAAATTTGGAGAAGAAAGCGTTCGCTTCGTTCTTGTAAATTTCTGCGTAAATCTTCGTATACTTCGGCTTCGTTTCTTTAATCATATCCCTCCATTTTTCGTTGAACATTTTGGCCATCTTCTTTCCCACCTCCGGGTCATCGGAGTCGATTGTGAATTTCATATCGTCAACACCGAGCGATTCGACGTCGACTTTGGTGATGGAAATGTAGTTTTCGCCATCTTTCTTGATGATCGTTCCGGTGAAGTTGTTTCGGGAATCGTAATTAACTGAAAGGTGCGAAGATGGCTCGGGGGGCTAAAATTCGGTGGGGTAACTTACATGCCATGGTGCTCGTCTTGCCCTTGCTGCTGTAATCTACTCCATCGAGAATTGCGTTTTCGTAGACGTAGTCGGCTTGGTAGTCGACCTCGTCGCACACCAGGTCAATGCTGAGGAAGAAGTCGGTGTCTGTCAAAGTTATGCTGAAAACCTCCGTTTAGCTTGTAATGACAATGGAGATCGTGGAGCTTACTCGAGATCTTTAACCTTTCCCTTGGTGTGACCGTGAATGTCGATGTTGGTGTAAGTTTGTGGAAACGTCAGAGGGCCCTCGGCGGTGACTTCCCACTTATCCATCTTCATCGGATCGATCGGTGGAATGTTAAGTTCGGGAACACCTACAGTTCGCAGGTGAGAGTAAGCGTACCTTATCAGATCACTTACCTGCACCCAGCAAGGCCAATCCCTTGGGAATCGCGTCCTTAAGGCATTCTTTAAATTTGGGATCCGATTGCGAGCACAACGTGAGCTTGCCTGTAACGAAATTGACGTGATTTCAGTTTGGTGCAAGTTCTTCTGGCACTCACTGAGTATTTGAGCGTTAACCCACGCCGCGCCTAACAGCACCAACACTAGAACACTACTACTGTGCATTATTTCGTACAATACAAATGGCTTTCAAAGCTTCAGTCTTATATATCCACGTCGAACTTGTTTTTCCAATGTGTTTCGCACAGTATACCCGGTAAGGTTAATGGTAGATTGTGTTCAGTCACTCATAACAGTAATGTGTCGAAATCTTTCACTGAAATAGTCTTACTAAAGAAATAGACGATTGTTTATAGGGCCTTCCTGTGTTACACCTTCAGTTGGAATTTGGACCTTTTGAAAGGCTCAAATTAAATTTAACCAATGGCATTACGTCCTTTGAGCTCGCACATTGCCACATCCTCACCAGTGTACCTAAACGCGCCACAGACCGAGAAAACTTCTTTTAGATTAGTCGACCGAAGCCTTTGTAAAAAGCTCTCGCATATTCTTAATGCGGTATTCGAAGGTTCTTCCTACCACAGTAATGTCGTCCAGATAGACTAAACAAGTCTGCCACGATAACCACATTCTCCATGAGACGTTCAAACGTCGCGGTTGCATTACACAATCCAAACGGCATGACTGTAAAATGCCATAATTCCGATCCGATCGTAAACGCTCTCTTCTCCCGTGTTTATGGAGCCATTTCCACTTACGAGTAGCCGTGATTTAAATCCAAAGTCGAAAAAAACTTGAAACCGGATAGCGTGTCAAGCGTGTCGGCAATTCGTGGAAGTGGATATGCATCTTTTTTTAGTCCTTTATAGTACTAGGCGTATAATCATTTTAGCGTATACACAGTGAGCCATTTTTAGAGATAGACCCCACTTGCTCCCGCACGCTAGTCTGCAGGCCCACAGGGACCTTGTGGCTTTGTTCGCCCACCTAACTTTGGTTAGGTTCACTATCTGTTGAGCCAGAGTAATTAGTTCGCCCGCATCATTTTGAGCGGGGATCGTTGATGCCGCAAAGTGCGATTGACGCAAATGCTCCAAGGTCTCTTTTGTGGCCTCTGGCGTAAAAAATACGGGGTTCATACCGAACTGCACCCACCGAATACAATAAGGTCATAAGAAAGGCAAAACGTTACTCGTGGAAGAGGAAATTGCACAAATTCCAGAATGTGCCAGATTTCAAAGAGCCTTACAAACAAGAATAGAGGGGAATCCGATGAAGATGGATAAGTGGGATGTCATCGCCGAGGGCTCTCTGACGTTTCCACAAACTTACACCAACATCGACATTCACGGTCACACCAAGGGAAAGGTTAAAGATCTCGAGTAAGCTCCACGATCTCCATTGTCATTACAAGCTAAACGGAGGTTTTCAGCATAACTTTGACAGACACCGACTTCTTCCTCAGCATTGACCTGGTGTGCGACGAGGTCGACTACCAAGCCGACTACGTCTACGAAAACGCAATTCTCGATGGAGTAGATTACAGCAGCAAGCGCAAGTCGAGCACCATGGCATGTAAGTTACCCCACCGAATTTTAGTCCCCCGAGGGGTCCGTTAACTTGCCCCCCCCCCCACTGAGAGATTTGATAGTCGTATTATTTTGAAATGAATGCGCTCGTTATGCGCTCATATGCGCCATCGATAATAACGCTTGCGCCATTATCGTTTTTTAGAAATCCGAAAAAACATTTGGGGGGGGGCCAAGTGAACGTACCCCCCACCCCCAGTACGTATTTTGTCCCTTGTAACTAGGTCACCTGATACATTTGGTTATGCGCTCAATTGCGCCGCTTGAATTAAAGCTAGCGCCATTACGGTTAAACCATAAAAAATTTTTAAAAAGTGGAGGGTCTGACTTAGCGTTTTCAAAAGTTATTTCCGGAAGTGCGTCCATTTTGAAAATATTTTACATCGATTCGACCTTCGGAGTAACTCCTAAATACAAATTTTTAAAAACCTACCTATTTTACTTTCTCAGAATCGTTTAACTAAAGCTCCCAAAAAAACACCCTGTATAGTGTTTCTGAAACACTATAATGGCGCAAAGATTTTTGTTTACGGCGCATTTTAGCGCATGATGAAAGGTACGATGTAGTAGAAAAAACATGTTAAAAAACGTAACTTTTGAAAACGTTAAGTTAGCCCCCCCCCTTTTTAAAATTTTTTTATGGCTTAACCGTAATGGCGCTAGCTTTAATTCAAGTGGCGCAATTGAGCGCATAACCAAATGTATCAGGTGACCTAGTTACAAGGGACAAAATACGTACTGGGGGGGGGGGCTACGTTCACTTGGCCCCCCCAAATGTTTTTTCGGATTTCTAAAAAACGATAATGGCGCAAGAGTTATTATCGGTGGCGCATATGAGCGCATAACGAGCGCATTCATGTCAAAATAATACGACTATGAAATCTCTCAGTGGGGGGGCCAAGTTAACGGACCT